CAACATGCAGCCCCTCCACTGTCCACACCCCATGCCACCTGCCCCTAGACTAACCAGCCGGCCAGAAAGCGGTTCCCTCCATGAAGCCTGGGACTGTCAGAAATGCCAAAAGGAAGGAGTCAGAGTCTGGCTCTAGCCTCACACACTCAACCCCGCTGCCCAGAGGCAGCCACGTGTCCAGTGAGCTGACTTCCTGAGCGCTCTGTGCTCAGACATGCGCGAGGCACCACGGGGCAGCCCAGGCCCCAGCCTCCCGGGAGACAAGTCTGACTGCAGGAGAGGGGACTGCTGCTAGTGAGAAGCCAGTCCACAGCCCCCACCCAGGACTCCCAGATTCTTAGCATAGCACATGGTCAGAACCCCAGTCCAGCCCAGCCCTGTGTAGCGCATCCAAACAGAAATGTGGAGCAGGAGGGTGGCTGGAGCCTCACCCTCAGGTTGGACAGGGCTGGCTACCCGGGTCTGCTCCTCCTGGGGACAGTTCTGGCACGAAGCCCTGGGGGGCTTGGGCACCCTGCCCTGAGGAATCACGGGGTAGGGAAGGAAGAGAGGTCTATTCCCAATCACCTCACAGATTTGCTTTTGTATCTGGGAGCACAGAGGACTAGGGCCTCTCATCAGGGAGCACAACTGATGCCTGCCAGGGTCTAAGCCCCGCTGGGCCTCATAGACACGGCCTGCAGGGAGCAGGCAGCACTGGAAGTGGTCCCGGTCAGGTCCTCCCCGCTCCACGTTGTCCCCAGCCCAGCAGGCTCTGTACCCGAATCACCTTGCCTGGGCAGGGGCTCCTCAAGCTCTCAGAGCAAGGAAGAGGGGCATTTTAGAATGGCTAAAGCTTGGTGAGCACCTGCCATGTGCCAGACACAGTTCCAAGTGCCTGCCTGGCGCGAGCCACCTTGAGAAGTCTCACAAGGGAAGGCCCAGTGTCTCCCTGTTTGACGGGAGTGGAGAGAAGCCCTCGGCCCCAGAGCTCGGGGTCACTGTCTGAACTGGAGGGCAGCCGGCCCCAGGAACGCAGGAAGCGGTTTTCCATTTTACTGAGCTTTCTACGATTCTGCATTCTTCCCCCCACACCACCACCGGGCATAGCCTTCCTTCCAACTGCATAATGGGCTCTGAGATGTTTGGAAGGAGGGCAAGAATAAGTCAGAATAAATGCATCTTTGCTAGTAAAAGTGGTTTAAAAATGTTTCTGGGACTGCAGTGAGTCCTGAGGGGCAGGCGCCAGACCCAAGGTCAGCCACCACACGGTGGTCCTGCTGCCTCAGGGACAGGCCCCAAAGCAAGGACAGCAGTGGGGAGGGAGCACCTGCCTGGGGCACGCAGAGGGGCCTGCGCTGCGGCACAACCCGAGCTGGGACCGGACCCTTGAAAAAACCACTGCAGGTAACTTGAGGGGCCCCCGTACAAGCCCCCTGGGAGGCACTTGGCTGCCCAGGGAGACCTTCCATTCCGACCTCCCTCCACCCGCAGCGTGTCCTGGGGCAGGACGCACAGCTCCCTACCCACCCTCAGCCCAGAGGCTGGGCTGCAGTCCTTCCTCTGCAGCCTTCCAGGCAGAGAAAGCTCCCAGCCACAGCCCTGAACCTCTCCTTATCACAACTCAGCCAAGAATAGAGGGAAAATGGAACCCATTATTCTCATTCTGAAGGGCTGGGAAATGGTTTGTGCTTTCCAATATCAAATGTGCCTAAAATAAGCTGTGAATTTCAATCAGAGGTTGAAAATAGCTCTGGCAGCAAAAGCTGTATTCAGAGTGGGCTCACGGTGGCCTTCATTTCAGGAGTGGGAGTGGAGCTCCGCAGTCGGGGCGGGGGTCCTGGGCAGGGGCTTTCTGGGGCAGAGGGCCTGTCACAGGCTCACGGGCTGCCCTTGTCACCGTCTGCTGATGGGTGAGCAGAGCAGGCCGTGCAGGACCCAACCCTGGCTTTATACTGCCATACTCTAATAAGCTCAGCGTCAGAAGTTCAAAACCCAACACCTGGCTCAATGGCTTCCTAAAATCCCCAAATGCCTAGGTGTGTCTCACGTGGATTTAGGGCCCAAGGCCCAGTGTGTAGACTGAGCTGGAGAGGGAGAGGTTATTAGATTTAAGAGCCTCTGGGGCACAGGTGCTGCTCATGGGCTCTTTGAGAAGCCAAGCCACCCTGGCCAGCCCCCACCCACTGACCAGGTACCATCCCAGAGCTAGGGAAGCCCGCAGGTGGGAACGGCACAGCACTCCAACTCTGAGTGAAAAGACCAAGTTGCTAAAGGTCTTTTTTGTAATTTACCATTACCTCCAGAAGATTTCAAAGTTTGACAGGCCAAGTGACATTCCTATAAAACGGGCTTGTGTTAGAAATGGAGGTGAGAGACCCAGGCCACACCTGGACCAGTGAAGCCAGAAGGAGTCCTGCCCTCAGCTCAGGGTGGGCCACATGCCTGCTCCGCCCACTGCGCAGACACCCAGGCCCACTCCCCACACTCCTTGCTCCTGGAGGGGAGGGCAATCATCCCAGGGAGGCATTTGGCAGTGCCTGGAGGCATTTTTGGCCACCAAAACCGCTGGTAGTGGAGTGCTCCTGGCATCAAGGCCCCAGAAGCCAGGGATCCTGCCGAGCACAGGATAGCCCCCGCAGGAAGATTCACCTGTCCCAAAGAATCAAGAGGGCCAAGGTTGAGACCCTGGGCCACTGAAAGGGCGGGGTGTCCCCACTCACTGCACCTGGTCATGGCTGCAAGCTCAAGGCTCCCTGGGGAGCTAGGACACCCTGGCCAGCCATGGTCAATCACCAGGCACTACCTCAGCACCAGAGAAGCCCTTGGACAGGAAGGGCGAGACCACACCCAACAGCTTCCCTTCCTGCCCCAGGGAAACCTAGCCACTGAGCAGTGCCACGCCAGTTGGCTTTCCTCAGTTTGGGAAGATGACAAAATTCTGTGGATGATGGCAGAGATGGTTACACAACAGTGTGAATGCACTTAATGCCACTCAACTGTATACTGAAAAATGGTTAAGACTGTAAATTTTATCTTAAGTAGATAAGACAAAACACTTAGCTCTCATCTTGGCCTGGATGCGATGGTGATGGGGGCCCCTATGTCTGTTCAGTCTCCAGGGGCTTGTGACAAATGAGGGAAGCGCCCTCACAGAAAATGATTCTAGGATTAACAAGTCTTCAGTGCATGGGTCAGCAGACGACATCTACACGACACACAGGGTCCACAGAGCCTGCCACAGGGTATGCCCGGGCCCAGCATGGAAACAGAGGCCTAGGAGAAGTGGGTGCTGTGCCGGACCACATGGCCAGGGTTCACGCCGGCTCTCTGACTCTGGAGCCTATACCGTTCCCGCTACTTGGGCCCCAACAGGCCTACCATGGGCCCACAGGGCACAAGTGGTTTCCCTGAGCCCTACTGAGCTGTAGCCCATTGTGCCTGCTCTGCCCTGCTGGCCTCCCCGACCCCACATGCCTTGCGCTAGATTATCAAGGCCCACAGCTCCAGCTCCAGGAAGCAAGGGTGCCCACACCCCATCCCTGCGTGGGACTCAAGGCACAAGACACAGCTTGTCCAAGGAGCTTTCCTAGCGACCACAAGGGAAGGGGACTGGTGTTCTCCCGTCGCAGGTGATTCCTAAGCGTTCTGAAGAGGCAGGTAGCGGTGCCCACCCCTGCAATGAGAAGAGCTGCTGGGCAGCCTCTGCGCTCCGCAGGTTGCAGCTTAGTCAGCCTTGCTCACAGCAGCGGCCCGGTGAGCCCCCAGGCCCAGGAGCCTGGGCAGGTGACTAAGCCCCAGGTGTGTCATCTCAAGTGAGAGCAGCGGCTGCACCACTCTGCCCGCTGAGGGAAGGAAGAAACGGGGCAGTGCATTCAAGGCCTGGCTCAGAGTAAGTGTCCAACAGACGGGGAGCCTCAGGGGCAGGGCCCTCAGAGAACCCCAGCCCTGTAGCTGGGAAGAGGCCTTCCTACTGGAAGTTGAAATGGCAGCAAGCAGAACGCCAGGCAACCTGATCATCCCCCAACAGACCTGAAGCTGAGAACAAGCCCCTCGCTAGCAAATGCGGAAGGCATACACATCCCTCGGCCAAGGGAAATCCTTGGAGGAAAAGCTTGAAGTCCCAACCTGGGCCACGCCCAGAAGCTGCCCCAACACACAGGACAGGGGCATGGATATGGGGGTGTCCCTCTGCTGAAGCCGAAGAAAGCCTGGGATGGACTCAGGCTTCCTGGCTCTATTCCGGGCCAGCCTTGACTCGCTGGGGGCCTCAGGTGAGCCACTTCCCGTTGTTCAGACAAGCTCCCATGGGTGGCAGGGCCACACTGCCTCTCGGGTCCAGGAGGGAGAGATTTGAACAGCCTTCGGCCACTGGAGCTTAAAAGCCTCACACTCCACATCTTTGGCTTCAGTGCTTATTTCAGCCAAAGACCATGCAACCTCAGTGAACGATCCCTTATCAATTACCAATTTTCCCTCCAAATATTTACCAAAAAATATTGTTAACCATTTTAATTCAGGAACACTGAATGCCCTTTTACCAACAAAGGTACTAAAAATGGCTTGTGGCTGAGGAACTTCCTTTTTATTGTTAAAAAAAAAAACACAGGAAGTGAGAGCAACAGGGCTGGGCCCTTCCCGTCTGTCCCAGCTTGGCTCAGGCCCTGCACCCTCTAGGAACTCTACGTCGCAAGCCCTGTGGCCCAGGGCTCAGCACAGACACGTCCTTCCTTTCCTCAGGCCTCAACCAACCGGAGCATGACCCACACAAACACACGCCCGCCAAATGGCATGGGCCCTGGGCACCCAGCATCTACGCTAGCAGCCTCTTCCCATCGTTTGTTCATTCTAGATCTGAAAAAAGCACAGTGCCTAAGTATTATTTGGTAAATGCCAAGACAGCATGAGCCCCTTCCCCACGCCTGGCCTAAGGGCCAGCCCCCGCATCCCCAAGCCCGCTGCTGCTCTCCACGGCCCAGCCCACCAGTCAGGGCTCGGGACTCACCTGCTGAGCCACTTACCAGATTCCCAGAGGGGCCGGCCAGCACAGCTGGGGGCCTCTGTGCTCTCCTGACTTCTCCACAGTCAACGTCAAAGTTACTCTTCCAAACCATCACCTGCCAAGACCAACAAGCACAGAGTCAGGGCAAAGAAACCTCTTCCTCACCAGTCCTCCTTCATGGCGAAAATGGGCCCAGAGGCCTCTCCCAGAGCTCTGGGCCAGGAGCAGGACCATGGCCCCACCTAATACCCACCTCCCTGCAGCGCAGGTTGTTTGGGACAGGCCTTGAGAAGATGTGGCTGCGCCACCAGGATGCACCATCCTGTGTGCCATTACCAGGCCTTTGCACTTGCTGGTCCCCTGCCAGTGTGTCCCAGGCTCCAGGGTCCACCTCCCCAGAGGCCTTCCCTCCTTCCAGCTTTGTCACAGAATCAGTCCTTGGCCATGCTCACCACCTGTCTTCCCACTAAAATGGGAGCTCCTGAGGGTGGCCTTGGCCTGCCACATCGTGGTTAATGCACACATTCAAGCCCAGACACTAGGGTTGAGATCCTAGCTCCACACAACAGGGTGGCTCCCTGTGCCTCAGTTTCTTCATCTGTGCGTAAGGGACAATCCCAGTGCCCACCTCGCCAGGCTCAGCACCCACACCGCGCCTAGGAGTGTGGGGGAACACACCCATCATCCCCATCCACACAGGACCTCACGGTGAGGCTCCTCCACAAAGTGGAGAACTGCCTGCTGGGAGCAAGAGCGACCCCTGCTGGAGAGTGCCAGCCATGCGCTTGCTCTTCCAGGATCACTTCCAGGATGACAGCACTTGTGGAACAGGGCCAGCAGTCAACTGAGGCCACAGAAAAGCCACTGTAACCATACAAACAGAAGCCCCAACATGGCCTGGATGCCTTCCCCACTGGACGCAGCCAACAGCCTAGTTCTCTGGGGGGGGGCTCCTCTCCACCCCCCAGTGATGGGCACTAGGATATCTCCCTGGTCCCCTTGCAGAGCACCGCATACACGCTGCTCCCAGCATCCTCGTGGAACTGTGCGGTCTAGCTGCGGACCACATGCCTGGAGCAGAAGGGCTATCAGGAAACAAGAGGGGCCAACTTCTCTCCAAGAAACGTCTTGGAGCAGGCTTAAAGGCCGTCAGGGAGCCGAGGGCCCGGAGGACAGAATCCCTGCTTCCTGCCAGGCTGTGTCTTGTGCCACGTGAGTTTCCCTTCCTGTGACTCTGTGTGGCATGACACCGCCATCCAGTTTCCCTTCTATCATCTCACTTCTAAGCAGCGAGCCAGGCTTCCACGCTGAGGCCCAGCTCGGGGCCTCCCCTTCTTCCAGGAAGGGCAAAACTGCTGCTGGTGTGGGAAGACACCTCCTGTCTCCCATCTAGGCTGTACTGCTCGCCTAACAGAGATGCAGCCACAATCGGTCCGTGGGGCTGGGGTGGGGGCTCACTGGAGGCTGGTGGGACTTCCCCGGGCTGGGCAGAGCTGTGAGGTCCAACATCAGTGGGGTGAACATTGCAGACAGCCCACCAGGTCAACAGCGGCTCCAGCAGCCACCCCATCACTGCCTCAGGGAGACGCAGTTCATGTGGGAAAGTGGAGAAAGGTTTGTGCCCGGTGGGATCTTCAATGCCCCAAAGCCTCCCAGGTGCCCGGCAGGGTGCCCACTTGGGGACAGGTGCTAGCAGTCTAGGTGGGAGGCGCCTGGGCTGACAGGCAGAAAGCCTCAGTGCAAGGACTAACAAAGCAGGAGGGGACCTTCTCACGTCACCTCCCTGCAGCCATGGAGTCGGAACAGGCTGGCCCCACAAAGAGAGCAAGAGCAGGCCGGGGAGCCCAGGGCAGCAGGGACGGAGCGCAGGCCCCAAGGCGGGCTCCAGGCTGAGACCTGGTGTCCTGACCCATAGAGTGGTGCGGCCAGGGCCTGTCCACAGGGCGGGCATGAGGCTACGTGGGGTGTGCGCCTCTTGCCGTGTTGCCCACATTACCGGGCCGCAGTGGGTATCCAACAGTTACTTAATTACTCACTTATAGTTAGGAAAAAGAAATTACTGGGAAGCTTTGTCTTAACTTCTTCATGGCAATGATAGCTCAGACTCCTTACAACCCAGGCTGGCTTAGCCAGGGGTCAGCCCTGCAGGAGACCTGCCTGGGAGGCAAGGGCCCCGGGTCTGAGCGCTCCACCCCATGCTCAGCCTCAATGGGGGAAGCTGGTGACACCCGGCAGCCCAGATGCATGGGCCACCTGCCCTGCTCAGCCCAGCATCAGTGGGGACCACTCCTTACTTACCTGTTCATCAGAGCCTCCAGAAGCAAAATACTCCCCTGTTCTTGAAAAGGCAACAGTGGTGGCTGGACCCTATAGGAGAACACACACAGAAGAACACCAAAGGTCACGGCAAAAGGAATCAGAAGCTCCTGATTTAGCAGCGGCAGGGAAGGGCTGAAGGCCTCATTTGGCCCACGGCCAACCCCAGCCTTTGGCCAAGGGACCAGTGGTGCCCAGACCTGAGCGCCACTGCTTCCGGGCAGAGGGGAATGTGCAGGACAGTCCATGCTGGCAGCCTGCTGAGCTGGCATCACCACCCCCACTTCACAAGAAGCTGGAGGTTGGAAGGGTACACTGACTTGCTCCAGGCCCAGCACTGGGACCAGAAGTCGGTCCCCTGACCCAGACCCTGCTTCTCCCACACACCCAGTAGCTGACCAAAGAAGTGTAGAGCCCCAGGGGGGAGCCACTGGGCAGAGAAGCACCATGACACATCCCTCTAATGTGCACGTCATTATCCTTATGCCCAGGCTTTGGGAGGAGATGTGCCCACTCTGGCGTCCCAGCTGCTGAACATCCACGTGACTATTCAAAGGTTGATGCCAGGCCATGCTCTGAGGGCCAGGGAGCACATCTGGGATTGGAGGAGGGCAGCATGTTCTCCCAGTAAAGAGAGGGCTCTTCCCCACAAGCCTGAGCTCCATCCCAGAAAGGTGCACACAGAAGATCTGTCCAGCACACCACCACCCACCAACCATCTCTTCCTCTTTGCCGAGCTTTTAGTACAGCAGCCCTGGCATTCCCCAGGCAAAACCAGATAAAAAAGACGTTCTCTCCCAGATGAGGACAGCATGGCCATGTCACAAAGGCCACCACAGTTCCTCCAGACCAGCACAGGGAACAGCAAGAGCCCCAGTATGAGGGCCTCGGGTAGTGGGGCTGACAGGAGCGGCAGCACACAGACAAGAGGGATGCTGGGCAGCACCTTCCAGTCAGTGCTGGCGATGACCGACAAGCTGTCGGCAGGAAAGGGGTCCTAAGGTCATGGAGCATGGTCCCAAAGAGGCAGGCCGAGCTGCCCCTGGGCCTGGGCCCACCCACATTTCCCTAATCTACCATGCTCCTCCCCCGCCAGGGGCCCATGGTGGCAGGGACAGGAAGCATCAGGCCAGCCAACGCAGGGCACTCCGGCTGGCTCAGAGTCGCTCACCTGCACTAACCCACCGGCTCTTCAGCATGCTGTCTGCATGTCTACCCTGCCTGAGGGCGATGAGCCCAAGAGGGCAGAGCAGCACCTGAGAAGCCTAACCAGTGCCTCGCGCAGCATCTCTAGCAGCTGGGCCCCGGGGGCTGGGAACCACAGCAGCTGGAGTCCTGTGCAGCCACCCAACAGGACAAAGGGGACTCATTCTTGCTGGCGGGAGCAATATCCATTACATCAGTGCGTGTGAGATGCCAGCTGTGAGGCATCGGGGCTGCCTGTGCAGGGCCTGAGTGCAGGGTGGGGGCAGATCGTGCATCACCCCGATTCCCTTCCAGGTGGACGGCAACCAAGGCTTAACGGACCTGGGGGCTGCAATCTCAGGTGACCTTTCCTTTGTTCTTGGAAGTCTTTGTAATTTCCCAGCCTTTTGAGTTTTTTTAACAAGTATGTGGCACTGCTGCCCTAACAGAAAAACAAAACAACAAGCTATCTTCATTCTGAGGAAAAGCAAATCGGGCAAGAGAGAAAAGAGGAGAGCGTATGTGGCGTGTCAAGGCAGCTGGGCCCTTTGCCCGTCCAGAGGCCAGCAAGGGAGCCGCCCCCCCAGGAAGGCACAGCAGCTACGGGACCAAATACTCGTGGATCTACCTCCTTCCCTACTGTCACTCAACCACCAGATGCCCAGGTGGGGGCAAGATGTTGGAGGCCAAGTGGCAGCAGACTTGGAGAATGTGACTCAGCAGGGCAGCCAGGACCAGAGGGCAGTGCCGGGGGGGGCCCCCAGGTCAGAAGTGCTACAGCCTCCCCAGAAGGCTCCAAGTGCCAGGCAATTCTGGGGAAGGCGCCCACAGTCCTCCCCGACAGACCCTGCTTCCAGAGGCCCGCTCGCTCCCGTGCCAGGCACCTCGGTGCTCTTGGGAAGAGCGGCCTTCCACAAAAACTCCTGCCCGCCTACCCATGGCCCAGGAAGGCAGCTCAGGGCACCCAGAGAACAGTGGGCCCTCGGCTCTGCTGGGCACAAAAGCCAGAAGGGACTGGCATGTATCAGGACCATCCACTGCTGCCAGTCAGTGTCTCTTCAGGGCCCCAGGGAACCCAGGCCCTCCTGAGCAGGGCGAGCCCTCGCCCTCTGCGCTCCCCAGCATCCCAGCCCCGCTGGGCCGCTTGCTGCTCCTCCAGCACTGTGAGCTTGGCGAGCTCTTCTCTTTGTCCACGTTCTTTCCTCAGGCTCCTGCATTGAGCTCTTCAGTGATTTCCAACCTCTCTTGGCTTTAAGTCGCATTGCTGGGGGCTCCAAACTGGCCTGATTACCTTAGACAGATCCCCGAAGTGCCCCACAGGCTGTATCTTCACTGTCACTCACCACCAAGTGCTGAGTTCCACTGCAGTTTTCCCTTCAGCCCGGCAATCTTTAGGAGTGCCTTCTAGTTTCCAAATCTCGGGGCCTGGGTGCACTGGTGTCTCTGAGGCCACCCTGGCCACACGGTAGCTTCCTCCTGTTAACTAGTCACTCTTGATGCCTAGCTCACCAGCTTAGGGCAGGGGTGCTGCCAAGTCATTTCTTCCCTCAGACAAGCCCAGGGACCTCTGCAGCAACTCCTGGTATGACTCTGGGCATTAGCTCTTGGCAGGGCCTCCCTCAATGTGAAGCCCACCTGCCCCGATCTCCAGAGGTGCCCACCCGCCTGAGGTCCTGACCCTCATCGGGCTCCAGGCCTGGCCCACTGGCAGGGACACCTCACAGGCTCAACCAGGCCCTTCCTCCTTCCCTCTCTGCTTCTGGCCTGTCAGTCTTTCATGAGATGACCCTGCTTGACCATCACGAGTGCTGGATGCAGCCTGGCTTCCTGCTCCACTCTCCCTCCAGACCTAGCTGCACTTGGCCCTTGAGCTTGGCTGGACCCACACTCAGTCACTTCACCACACCCACCCTGCCTTGCCAACCTCCAGTCCCAAGGGACCTGCACAGTCTGGTTTCTTCACTCTTAAACGGCAAAGTGTCAATGGAGAGAATTTAAAAAACAAAGGAGCGTTCAGTGCTTAGACCCCGCAGACCCCAGACCTCTCCACTGTCTTCACCCCTCAGCTGACTCCCTGAGGCCCCTGCATGCCTGAACTTTGACCGCTGTGTCCACACAGCTGTGCTAGCAGAGGCTCAGGTGGGTACTCCCACCCATCAACCCCTTGCAAGGGTTTTGAAATGCTTTTCACTGGCTGCTAGCAAATAAAAAGGAATGTTACACGAATGCCCAAGTCAGAGGTGAAAGAAGAGTGGCCATCAAACAGACACGGGCACCAAGGCCCGAGAGGCCCCAGGTGCGGGTGCTGTGGCCTCTGACCCCTGTGCTCAGGCAGAAAACAGCAATCCAGCCCAGAAGACCGCTTCTTCCGCAACCGCCACCACCACCCGGGGGGCCTCCCACACGCGCTTGCTTACCAGGGGCCGCCGGGGGCTGCCTATTGTGTCCTAGGGGTGCCCCGTGCACAAGGAGTGGCCTCTGGGAGGAGCTGCTGCCCAAGAATGCCGATGCTCTTTCCCAACCACGGCCGAGGACACCTACTCCCAGCCCCAACCCTGGGCTGCTGGCCGGGGACAGAGGGCCAAGCTGGCCTCCTGGTTACCTGGGTCAGAGCCAATGAGCTCCTTCCCCTCTTGATGTCCCTTCACCTCTCCCAGGAGGTGCCCAACCGTCCAAGCCAGGTCTGAGCCTCCCAAGCATCGAAGGAATTCCCCAGGATGAAAGGGTCCCCCAACAGCTGCAGAACACTCCAAGGAACGAGGGATGAGGGCTCACATGCCCCCAAGCCCCTCTGCCACACCGCCGCCCCTCCTCCTCGCGGGCTGGCCCCTGCCTACCCTGGCATGGCGGCTCCCAGGACCATCGGTGGACCCCACGCTCTGAGCCTGTGGTGTCAGGACAACCAGTCTCCAGCACAGGCCTGGGCGCAGACAGCAGCCCTAGTCTGGGTTTCTGGGCCCTCAGCAATGGCTGCTCACTGCACTGGGGGTCAGCTGGGGCCACATGGAACCATGTGCCATGGGTTCCTGTGCAGTTCAGTCGCTCCGCGGTGACACGAACATTAACTGCACAGCCACAAACACCAGATTTAACTCCCACCCACATCCCGCCCACCATCCTCTCCCAAATAGCTCTGGGGACTTAAACCAAATGAGCATGGCTCGAGATTATGTTTCAAAAAAGACAGAAAAATAAATCTGGATTTCTAGTACACTGCCCCCTCACTTGCTACACAGAGCCATGGGGGCCTCGCTCAGGGCACGAGGCTTGAATGGCAGCTATAGCTGGTAAGAAAGCCCTTCCCTGGCATCCCCTGCAGCCAGACACCCCAAAGCCTGTCCCGGACCCAGCAAGCTGTACTGCGCAAATCCCCACAGAAGACATTCAGAGCCTTGTGAAGGCCACTGGCACCCCAGCCAGCCCAGTGCCACCCTCCAGGAGTCAAGCCCTGGAGAAGACAACCTGATGGGCAGAACCAATAAGGGGCAGCAGGCCAAACCCGCTCAGGGCAGCTGGTGGGGCACACACAGGTGGGTCGAGGGAGTCGCAGCAGCCATCCACCAGGGAACAAGTTCCAGGCGCTGTGTGACAAGAGAGGCCGAAGCAAGAGGACGTCCTGGGAGAGGTGACAAGACCACAGACACAGTGGAGACCCAGATCGGCCCTCGAAAGGCCCCACCCGTGGGTGAGTGGAAGGTGGGGAGATGGGGACCCCCATCCTGGAGGAGAAGCCAATGGTGACGGTGCTGTGCCCATCAACTAAGGCCCAGTCATCAGAGCCCCCCCCAATGGCTCCATTTTCCCAGCACACACTGCCTACCCACCCACGGTGCCAGCACCAAGCCCGTAACAGAAACAAAAACAGCCTTTCACCCACAGCATGGGATCACTTTTCAGGGGCTGAAGGGGTCCTAATCTGTGAGGACCTACTGTGTGGGGAGCTGGGTGACACAGACACATCCTTGCCCATTAGGAGGCAGATACAGGAGTGTTCTTACGGGTGAGAAAGGCTCAGCAAGGTCAACATCGTGCCCAGTGTCACAGGGTAGTAGGCACAGCTGGACTCTGACCCCAATGCCCACGCCCTCTCCTCCCACTATAGTCTCTTAGAGCTCAGAACACATCGCCTGTGGTTTTCCCAAAACAGGACCAGGAGGGTGAGAGCTGGCCGTTCCTGCAAACACTAGGGTGTTTCCTCAGGAGGCTGGGCACCGGCGCCCAACAGACAGGCTGTGTGAGCCCTCCCACCAGCCGCCCCTCAGCCTAGTCCCCACGTTTGCATGTGCAACAGCAGCCGTGCAGCATGCGGTTTCACTCCTGCAGGACTACGGAAACAGGTCCTCTGTGCGTGCTGCCGCCCAGCCAGGAACAGCGAGGGCTCTCAGGCTGAGGAGGCAGCCGTTCCAGAGCCCTCCCAAAGGAGAACAAGCCCTTGGCGACTGCTGGGGTGCACCTGTCTGCATGACATTTCTGGGTATAGCTGCTGCTTCCTGGTTTCCAAATGGCCCCAGTTATAAAACCCAAACTGGTTTCAGGGTTGTCTAAATAGCTGGCTTGCCAAAGAGCTAACAAAGGGGGCTCCCCAGCAGCTCACATCAAGGGCAGTGGTCCCCCCACCCCAGCGGCCATGTGTTACACTTAAGTGTATCGGTCCCTGGGGGGACAGGCCACTGGTCCTGCACATCAAACATGGTCCTAACGGGGAGGACAAGAGTCACCATGTGCTGAGGGTAGCAAGCAGCCACTAGGTCCTAAGGAAGCAGGAAAGGCCTATGACCCTACGCCAAGCCATGGCCAACGCCCCTATGTGCCCCACCTCAGTGGGCAGTGGGATCCGGAGAGCCTTGGGCTAGACACCTCACATCTGGCTGCCAGCCCAAGACACACACGCACCCAGGGCCTCCCCCAGCCTCGAGAGCCCATCCCCACTCTCCAGCCTGCCCGCTCCCTGCTCACAGGTGGAGGGGGGAAAAACTGAAACGCACTGGTCCAGGCCTCCTGGCCCACTTGGGTGTGGAGGTGGCATCCCAACAGGAGACACTCTGATGCCTACTCGCAGCAGGAGACAGCTCACACCTCCTGGGGGTGAGGCCCACATCCAGGCCAGCTGCCAGGAAGCCGCAGGCAGCCCACCTCACCACAGCCTGCCCGCCCAGGGAGCCCAGGCCACCAGATGCCCTGGTGAGGCCACTCAGAGAGGAGCTCCCTTGATTCAATCCCAGGCATTCTCCAACTAATGTGCAGGGAGACCTCCTTCCTTCATGCCTGCCTCTGTGAGATACCTGCTATTTCTGTCTCTAGAGGCGTCAGTCTCTGCAGAACCCCAGGAGGCCCTGATGGCATTTCAGGGCATGGCTTCCAGGTTCTGCCCAACTGCTGGATCAAGGGATGCCTGAGGTCACAAGGGGACAGATTCCATCTGGCCCCCGGGGGAGGTCTGTCAATGATGTCCAGACCGCCTCCAACTTAACTCCTGTCCTCCCTCCTCAGCTACAGCACCAGGCCTCACACTTCTGCTGGAGGCCACAGGCCTTGTGGGCAGCAAACCTGTTTCTGCATCTCACCCCACTGCTCAGGATATGAGGGGATGCAGGAACCACCCCCAGTGGGCTCCAAGGGCAGGGCCACCTCAGGTGAACCCAGCCCTGAACAGGTCTCTGGCCACTGCATGCCGCTCAACACCAGGCTGGCGCCCTCACCTGATGCCCGTGGAGCGTGTAGAGCAGCCGGCCCTCCATGAGGTCCAGGATCTTCAAGGTGGAGTCACTGGAGGCCGTGATGAGGTAGTTTCCAGACGGGTGGAAGGAGAGGGCATTCACCGCTGCACTGTGCACTAGGGAGAGGACATTGGTCAGGCAACAGCTGGAGGCCCAAGAGCCCAGCTGCAGCCTCAAGGCAGGTGACTAAGGCCAGTGGAGGCTCAGCACAGGGTAGCCGCTGCTCAGAGGAGCCGTGGGGACCCCCAAGGATTTCCTAGGAGAGCAGCCTAGGATTCTGTCCCGATCTAAGGACAGGGGGAGACTCAGCCCGAGCCAAAGGCAGACAGGGGAGAAGTGCAGGTGGGAGCACACGTGGCAGGCCAGACGTATCCAGCGATCCCTCCACCTGCCTCGCCACGCTGAGCAGCTGAGCAGAGCAAACCAGAGTGCTCAGCCTCGGGCTCAATCTGTCTTCCTCACTGCTACTTAGGGAAACCAAATAGAAAACAAGACCCTTGAAATGCCAAGGCGATGCCCCTGCATGTGGGGGCAGGAGAGCAACGGCTAGCACCCTCAGGAGCCATGCAGGCCTGGTTCCAATCCGTCTCCCCAACAGTCCTCCCTGTGACCCTGAGTAAGCACCTCGCCACACTGAGCCTGTCTCTCCTTCCCTATTATACATGGCACCCAAGTGCTGGGGTTTCAGAGGCTGCTGCCAGGCTAAGCCTGTGAGGCCTCTACACAGAGGGAGCCCTTGGGTACCCTCTGCTGCCCCCAGCATCCCGTGCAGGCCAGTCCTGTGATTTTACCCAGGCAGTGGCTCAACCCCACCCATGACCCTTTCCCCACTGCCTCAACCCAAGCCCCACTGTCCATCCTGATGTCTCTTACTCCCCAAGATCTGGCCCTTTCACCCCTTGCTCCCCATGGGCCTGGGAGACTTGTCCATGTCTTCCCCTGACCTTGAAGCTCCCTGCTCAGTGTCACTTGCCCACTGGGGCCCCCCGATTGTCCTTCTGAAACACCATGAGTTGCCGGGCAGCATGCTCTTCACAGCAGGCTTGCGTGTATGTGCAGCTGGATTCGGGGCTGGGTCTCTCCCAAGACTGCATGCTGTGTCAGGCAGGGGCTGTGTGGGTCCTCAGCTCCCGGCTCAGCACCTGACACTGGGCAGACTCAGAAGGCAGTGGGTGAGTGGATGCGGTGCCCCAGCAAGCCACCAGGGATGGCAGTGTGAGCGCCAGCTGCATCACAGCTTCTCAGAGGAGCTGCAGAAGATGCCAGGGCCTCTGTACCCATCACCACAGGCCTGGTGAGGGACCCCGTGGGGCTGAGACAGCCATGACGCTGCCAAGGCAGACTTGCTGAACATGTAAAAGCAAATTCTAAAGCCAACCCCTCGTCCTGGCACTCTGAGGCTCCCGGCCACTGGTGGGCCAGTGAATGCAGCCACCACGGAACAGCCCTCAGCAGGTCCCGTGGCTGCACAGACCCCTCAAGACACCAGCCTGGCTGCAGTGCTAATGCCCCTGGGAGGGTGGATACATGGTCCCAAGCACACCTAGGGAAAGCAGCCAGGGCCTTACATAACACAGCATTATGCCCGGCCACTCCAGGCAGCAGGAGCTCCCCTAAGGGACAGCCTGGAGAGGGCTCACAGGGTTTCCACAGCCAACTCCTGGAGGCAGAGGCCAGACCCCACAGCCTGGCACACTGCCCACACTCGAGGCCATGGGGGAGGGGGCCAGCACCCTCAGTGTTTACCAAAATTTGGGGCATGGAGTGCAGAGGAATAAAGCCATAGCCGATGCCAGCAGGAATAAAATGGGCACTACCCACAAGCCAGAGCAGAAAGAACATTAGTAACACACAGAGGGAGACTGTCCCTGCTCATGCGCAGAGGGGCACACCTAGTGTGCAGGCCCGAGGAGGGGCGGGGATAGAAGCTACAGATGGGGAACAGGGCTCATCTGCAGGGAGGACAGGGACAGGGAACTTGTCATTCTACGTACTCTCAGAATAGTGTGACCATCAGGATCCAGTCACTATGATCACACAGCAGAGTGAAGGATGGAAAGTGAAGGTCTCCCGCCCCCAGCAAGAGCACATTCCGCCCGGGGGCAGGAAAGCATGTCTAGCCCATAGTGGTCCTGCAGGTCCTTCAGCCAGTGCCTCTACAGGCTGAGCGGCCAGCGCTCTCCAGAGTTCGGGTTCGCACTGGCAGTGAAGTGGGGTGGGAGGGGGACAGAAACCATGCTGAGTCCCTCGGGCGAGTCTCCCCCTCCACCACAGCAGGAAAGCCCAAGCAGTCCCCAGGGCCTCACCACACCCCAGTCTACCCTTGGGCCTCTTTAAATGCCGCTTCAGGCACACCTGCCTCCAAGCCATGCAGGGCGCGCCATTCCCCTTTCTGCAGCCCCTGGCAGCCAGCAGGGCATCGGCGCCACCCACCCCAGCTGAGACACAGCTAGCCCACCAACAGTGGGCAGGGCATGGACATCACATCAAGACCTCCCACCGTGCCAGACCCACCCAAGGGAGGGCCTCTTCCCCAGAGGAGGGCCCCACAAGCCGAGCACCGACAAATGGCAGGAATATCAAAGGCCTCCTCACTGGGTGGGGTCATCGGAGATGTTTACTCCAGAAGAGGGCTCAGCTAGGCATGCCGGGCCACTGGGGATGCACCAGATCCAGGACCTCCTCGCCTCCCCCCACTGGCTCTCCTGCCCCATCCGCTGCCCCTGCCAGCCTGGGGCAGCTTTGCTGGCTCTGTAGGGGCAGTTAAGGCCATTCCAGGGAGGTCTCCTCATGACAGTCATCCCTACATGACAGTCCCCTATGCAGACTGGGCTGCCGCACAAAGGATGAGCCTCTTGTCACAAAGCCCTGAGCAGTGACTATTCACAAACAACCCACGTTTCTTCAAGCCCCAAGCTAAAGGCCTCTCTTACTTCCACGCAGTGATAACAGATGGCAGACTGCCATTGGGTGCAGCTGTGGGCCCCTGGCTATTATCCCCCCACCCCACCTCTACCCCAAACAAGGGACTCCAACTTAGGCTCAGATATATACCAACGTCAAGATTCTACAGGTTACCAGGAGTCCAGAGAGGTTGGGACTGCGGCTGCTGCAAATGCTACTGAGAACTGGCCACAGCTTGTGGGCAGCAAGTGGCCTACAGAGATACCTGGGTACCCATGATCTACTCTGCCCACACACCTCTGCATGTAGAAGCCCTCACCAAACCTGGCCCACTGCCCAACGGGCTCCAAACTGGCCAAGGGATCCAGAGCGAGCAACCCCAGGTGCCCAAGTAGGGGGTAACTTTCTGGGGCAGTCCATGCCAGGGCCAAGCCCCCCCGCCATTTCCAACAAAGGGCTTGGCCCCCTTCATACAGGGTAGGTTGTCATGATGCACCCTCCCAGTGACACATGGCTTTGGGTTTACAAAGGGCTATGGATTCATACAATGAGGTGCTCTGATGTCAGCAGCACAGGACATTCAAAACCTTCCTCTTTGCTATGAACAGACATGTCTCCAAAGAAAAAATTCAGATGGCCAACAGGCACATGAAAAGATGCTCCACATCACTAATCATCAGGGAAATGCAAATTAAAACCACAATGAGATATCACCTCACACCAGCTATGATGGCCAACATAGAAAAGACAAGGAACAACAAATGCTGGCAAGGATGCAGAGAAAGGGGAACCCTCCTACACTGCTGGTGGGAATGTAACCTAGTTCAACCACTGTAGAAAGCAATATGGAGGTTCCTCAAAAAACTAAAAATAGAACTACCATTTGACCCGGGAATTCCACTCCTAGGAATTTACTCAAAAAAAAAACAACTTCTCAGATTCAAAAAGACATATGTACCCCTATGTTTATCGCAGCACTATTTACAACAGCTAAGATATGGAAGCAACCTAAGTGTCCATCAATAGATGAATAGATAAATATGTGGTACTACACACAATGGAATACTATACAGCCATAAGAAAGAAACAAATCCTACCATTTGCAACAACATGGATGGAGCTAGAGGGTATTATGCTCAGTGAAATAAGCCAGGCGGAGAAAGACAAGTACCAAATGATTTCCCTCATTTGTGGAGTAGTAACAAAGCAGCAAAACTGAAGGAAAAAACAGCAGCAGACTCACAGACTCCAAGAAGGGACTAGTGGTTACCAGAGGGGAGGGGAGGGGGAGAACGGGTGGGGAGGGAGGGAAAAGGGGATTGTGGGGTATCACGTGGTGCACATGGTGTTTGTGGGGTCACGGGGAAGACAGTAAGTCAGCTAGACAAGTAGAGAATCTGTGGCATCTTACTACACTGATGGATAGTTACTGCAATAGGGTGTGGCGGGGACTCGATAATAAGGGTGAATGTAATAACCACATTGTTTTTCTTGTGAAACCTTCATAAGAGTGTATATCAACAATACCTTAGAGAAAATAATAGATTAAAAAAAAACTTCCTCTTTGCAAATGTCATATAAATTGCCCACTTAGAGATGGCGGTAATGGCTCAATAAGCTGGCCAGACCAGGTAGGACAGTGCACCGCCCCCTAGCAACACTTTTGGGTCAAGATACCGTGCAAAGGGCACAGGCCTGCCTACTGGCTGGCTACACAGCTGCCTTAAAACCCTCTGTGACCATAGCTGGGGCAGGGTGGGGCTCCAGGGATGTGCTAAGGACAGGCAGACAGAGCACCTGGGACTCTGAGCTCTAAGTGGAGTTCCTGGAGGGGTCCAGGCCAAGCCTTCCCAGGGGCCTTGGGGAAGTAAATGGCTAGAGCCCACACAGTATAAGGGACCCAGTGTGGGATAGTGGACAGACGATGAACTCAAAGGCCCTGAGATGGAGACCCAGATTCATAGCTTCTTATCTATGCGGCCGTGGACAAGCCTCAAACCCCCACCTGTGAAATGGGGAGCAGCTTGCCCTGCTGGCCGCCCAGGCCTGTCACCAGATGACGGACCTGCATGTGCCTACACACTGCAAAGTATGCTTTGGGTTCCGGAACCGGTGTTTGCAAAGTCTTACTGTGGGCTTGGAGCACATGGAGCCCAACACACCTCCACAGGACTGGCACTCCCGGGCCCAGCAACCCCACAGACTCCATGTTGAGCTGGGAAATCAGAACTGCTCCCCACAGTGGCAGGCCAGAGCCAAGAAACTCCTTGCCTGAAGCCAATGGCACCAGCTGCCTGCTGGAGCGCAAAGCCACATTCCACACAGGACAGGAAGTGTCCTCCACGAAGTGTGACCATAGGGCAGCTGAATGTCCCCTGCAGAATCATGAACCAGATTCTCAGGACAGCCCATCAGCCTCATATGCCCAAAGCCGACTCAGGAGTGCCTGGTGCTCATCCGGCCACCAGGAGACACTGCAAGTCATTGTGTCCTTGAAAACTTTCCCCTGGGTTTCTTAGGGCTCAGAAGCAGAAATCAGCCCAGGTGCCTCCTGCCAGAGGGCTGGGAGCCCTTCCTGAGGACTCAGCCTCCACACAGCTTCCATGCACCTGTGCGGATGGGGAGCAGCTGCTCCTCCAGGGCTGGAGAGCCCCTCAGACAAAGGTTCAGGCACGGAGCTCTCTAGAGAAGCCACCAGACCCAAGCAGACCTGGCCAGTCCCTCCGGCAACAGAGGGTGAGGGCGCGCCCCAGCCAATGAGGCATATCTGCTTGGCTCTCCTTGAGCCAGAGGGTGAGCCTAGAGGGGGTGGGATATGTCTGTTGCCCTGGAAGTACCCACCACGCATCACGCACTGGGCAGGGCACGTGGGGGAACCCAGTTGTTTATGGGGTATCCAAGCCCCCCAAAGCCTCAGATCTATACTAGGGGTGGCTTAGGAACAAGAGGCTGCAGACTCACTGAGTGGCTCTTCACTAGAGAAAAGGACAGTGGCAGAAACCCACTGAAATCTCTCTGCAGAGCCTGTCAATCTCACGCACTGCAGGTCTCCTCAGGAATTGGCCCTGACGCTGTCTGAGGCCACCCAGCCTGTCCCTAGCCTTGCCAGTCACTGACCTGGCACCCCACCCACTGCCAAGCCTGCTCCCTCAGGAACCCCGGGGCCTCTCCCCTGCAACGCCCTCCCCTTGGCGGCTCCATGTCACTCCACCTCCTGACCACCCTCTTCATTAGAGTCAGTGCTCCTTTACTCCCGGGGCTCTGCCCTCCAGGGCAGGGGGAGGGAGCCCCCCTCACTCTGTCTGCTTTGTGGACCTTTCCTTCCAGGCTTCCTACCCAGGAGGGCTCTCAGCACTACTGTCCTCTCTGATGCCCACACGAGTGCCAGAGCCGACCCAGCAGAGCCGGCTAGGCTGCATCTTCAGGATCTGGTCCAGAATTTGGCATTCAAGGGCCTCCCCTCATGGGTACCTGCTGCTTGCAAACATCAGCCCAGGCTGCTGACCCATTAAAGGAGCACCTGGTCTTTCCCAGGGTCACCTATAGACTCTCTCCTCCCAGTGTCAACTCCCACATGACACAAACTATATCCCCAGCACTGCATTAGAGTCCTTATGGGTTCTCCCTCACATCCTCACAAACCCTGTAAGGGAGGCCTGACCACCATCCCCATCCCCTTTACAGACAGCAAACAGCCGGTACCCCTGACCACCGCGCTGCCTCACCGCCTTCCCTGCCCCTCTCTCCCTGTGCAAGCCCTCCCTCCTGGCCCCACTCAAAGGAGGCCTTCCCTCCAGCACTCAGCACCCACCTGCCACAAGCCCAGCCAGCTGGGCAGGCGGGCCCACTCTCCACCCCAGCCCAGCCCAGCCCAGAGTGGGAGAAAGGCACCTGAAGGTGCGGAGGGAGAAGTGTGGGCTCCACGCAGAGGGCAGACCCCACTGCTGCTTGGTTCTAGAAGCTCTGAAGCAGCATCAGGCACAAACCCCAGGAACCTGTGGGGAGACAAGGGTTCTTGCGGCTGGCCCCTGCCACCTGGTGGTGGTGAAGGGTAGTGCGGGCCTCAACCAACAGGGCAGGTGGCAGACCTGCCTCCTGGCCCCAGGACTGGGACTCACCCAGCACCATCAGCACAGTATGCACACCTACCTGGGGCCTGCTTGGTGTCGGCACCTCCAAGTGCTTGGTGGGACCACCACCTGTGAGACAGGCCCCATCCATGTTCCAGGGCCCAGGACATCAAGTGACCTGCCCAGCGTCACACAACCAGGAATGCTGAGGCTGGCTGAGGCTGGCTGCAGAGCGCACCCTCCACCGTGCTTTGCAAGACCAGGACCCACTCCCCCTTCTGGGAAATCTGCTCACTTCAGTTACCCCAAGAAAGTGCCATCCTCAAACATCCGCCAGGAGGAGCTGCAGAGGCGTCAACAGAACAGCTCTGAACCAGGCCCCAAACCTCTGCCCCGAAAAGACCTTCCCATTTTCAGGTGTGAATTTTGGAAGTGAGTCCATGCACTTTAACTTAGTACCAAGCCAGTGGCTGCAGGTCTTCAAAAGACCTTAGCCCACATACCCGCCTGCTTCCCCATCCCTCCTGCGGCCCCTCCCCAGCTCCCTGCCCTGTGCCCCATGCCCACACCAGGTGACTCTTGGTCCTGCCCAGTTGCGCCTGCTCTCGCAGAGCCCCAGACCCCAGCACCTACAGCTGTCTCACGCTAATCACACCCCAGTCTGCTCCCGACCCTCGCCCACCTGCACCCTGACACTGGCCCATGTCAATGCCTACTGCCTGCTTTCCAAGGGCTATGATGGCAGCAGGGACACAGTCCCTGGGCTGCCCTGAGGCTGGTGCCTAGCTAAGCTGACCCTCCCTCTGGCTCATGGCTCCACCTCTGTGAGGGGCACAGTGGGACCTTGGGTGGCCAAAGTCCCAGCAACATGGACCTCTTTTGACAGACTTGCCCCCTTCACCATAGGTCAAGAGTTGTCACCTTGGCCCTGGAGGGGAGTGGCATGGGCTGCCCCTGAGAAGTGGCCCTTGGGAGGAGCCCAGTCCAGAGACCCACAGACACTCCCCATCTGGCCCTGCAGTATGCATATGACTGCCAACTCATGAATGGGCCCACGAGGTGTGATAGATGCCAGGAGGCAACACAATCCATCTCCTGGCCAAGGTTCCATGCCAAGATAACCACAGACTACCCACCCCTGTTGAAGCCAACATACCTGGGACATACCCCACTGACCAGGGCCATCTTCAGGCCCATTTAAGCACCACAGCAATGAGCCAGACAGCTGGTCCCACACAGTCCCACCACAGCTGCTCGTGGACACTCACACTGATAATGCTGCAGGAGCCGGTGTGTCCGCACGTCCCACACCTTCACTGTGTTGTCCATGCCCGCGGCAGCAATGCACGTGCCGCTGGGGTGGAAGTCCACGTAAGTGACAAAGCTGGAAAGACAAGGGAGCACGTGCTAGAGGAAGGCTGTTCTGGCTCAGAGCACTCTCCCCGCTGCTCGACTGCCCCCTCAACCCAGAAGACCTCCCTTCTGCCCCATCTCACTATCAGGTGGCCCAGGGAGAACAAGGAGAGGGTGGAGAACAGCAGCTACAGTGCCCTGAGGTGGACTGTCAGGGGCAAGTCCCAGCATCAATCAGCTTCGTGTACCAGCAAAGAAGTGGGCAGCCGGCTGCTCCAGGGCTCTCAGAGTCAGAGCCGGAGGCAGGCCAGGCCGGGTCAGCAGGGCCCCAGGGCCGCCAGCTCACCTATCTCCTCGTATACCCACAAGTGAGACAGGCTGGGGTCATGGCCAGCCCAGGAAGACCTCTCACCTGGGCTCCCAGTCTGAGGAGGGCAGAAGCTGGGGTCCATTAGGAACCCAAGATGGCTAAGTCCCCGCTCAAGGGCAGGCCCCCCACTGCCGTGATGGCACAGCACATGTGAAGAGCCCACCCACTGCAAGAACCTGGTAAGCCCTTCACTGATAGAGTCATCACCGTTGAAGTGACACGCTAACATGATTTTGGGGATCAGGGCTCAACTGCTTTCAGACAAACGTGTCCCAACTCTGTGAACTAGAAAGTGAATGGAAAAGGGAGGCCCCAAAAAAGACATGCTTTGAGGTCAAGCGCGCCTGTTATATGTGGAGGCGAGGGTGAGGCTGAGCCTTCCACCCACACAGGAAGAAGTACAGCCCCCACAGAAGGCCCCTGGGCCTGTGCACACCCAGGTCCGTGAGTCGGAGCGCTGCAGGTAGAGGGCAGGTCTGCGGACTCACCCGCCATGCTCGCAGTATGAGTGGACACACTCCCGGCTGGCTTTGTCCCACAGTTTGACAGTCTTGTCATCGCTGGCAGACACGATGAGCCGCCCGTCAGGGGAGAACCTGAACCAGGTTGGAGAACATCACACACGGTCACAGGCACCACACACTGTCCTCCACAGCCACCTTCGTGCACTGCCCACTGAAACCAGCCAGGGCCACCTGCCCTGCTCTGACCCTGAGTGACCCTGGGCAAGGGGCTTTCCCTCGGGGCAATGGGTAAGACTGGTGCCCACCCAGCAGTACACAGGGAACAGCACCATGCACTGCCGGTGGCCTTTGGCAGTGTCCACATTGCCTACCAGTGCTGTCAGCATTTAAAGCAGCTGGAACCCGTCCGTTAGCATCATTATCCTGTTCGCAGGCCCCCCAAGTCTACTTCTGACTCTGAGAATGAGTCAATAAGACACCTGCTCTCCGGAGTCTGACAGTGAGGCCTCCTAGGTAATCAGGGGCCTCCCAGGAGAAAGGAATTGGGTAACCTGGAGAACAAGTAACTTGCACAGGTCCCCAGAACAACACTGCAATAGTGCCTGACGTCTGACCCCCAGGGATTCCCAGCATCCCCAGACACCCCCCAATCTCTTCCTCCAGGGCAGACACTTGACATGTGATATCTCTGCTGAAAAGAATACAATAAGCTGGAAGTAGGCACATCGCTGTCTACAGTTCTTGGACCTTGTAAGGCCCCCAAGGCACTGCTCCTTCACCAATGAAGGGTCGACCCTCCTCAGAAGCCTGGGTGCCCACCTGATGAGTCTATAGCAAAACCCACCTCTAAGAAGCTGACATGGACTAAATCCCAGCTCAGCCACTAAGTCACCATGTGCCCTGGGGGCAAGATACTGCACTGTTCACTGTGAAACAGAAATGATAACCCCCAGCTTGCAGGAGCGTTACAAGAGACAGATGGAAACAGACAGTGGTGGCAGTGACGCTTCTTGCTGCCACTGTTCGCACTGCTAACCAGTGGCCCCTGTGGACTAGCTCTGGCTGCAACAGATGTCAGGCAGCCGACCGTACCTGGCGATGGATGAACTAGCTAGTCATGCAGCAGCTCGTGGAGCTTCTCAACAACTTACAACCTAAGAGCCTCTGTTCCCATTTCACAGATAAGGAAGCCAAGGCTCAGGAATATTAAACAGTGGCCCAGGGCAGCGCCTCTGTGCCCCCAAACCCCAGTCGCCCCGAGGTCTCCAGGCAGGACAATGCTCACTTGGCACAGCGGACCCAGTTGATGTGCTGGCTCAGGGAAAACAGGAATTTCTGGCGATGAGTGGCCCACACCTTGACTGTCTTGTCATCAGATGCTGTCACGAGGGACTGGCCATCACTGCAGAAATGGACGCTTCTCACTGTGGCCGTGTGTGCACGGAACACGGTTGACTCACCTTTGCTGTAGGCACAGGTATCCAGTCAGCAAACCCAGAACAGTGACATGAGGGCCCATAAGCACATGGACGCTCTTCCCACCTCTCAGGAGCCCCTCCCAAAGTCAATGCAGGCCTGAGCACAAGCCCCAACAAAGGGAGCCAGAGCCTCCCCAGCAGGCACAGAGCGCGGCCTACACCCACCCCCTGCCCCACCCACATGGATGAAGGCAGGTGGAGCCTTTTCCAGATGGCTGGGGCAAGCCAGAAGCCTCTCCCCAACCCCGAGGGAAGGGCCCCCACTGAAGCCCCAGCTTCTGACAGCAACTCCCACTGCGACCAGTACGGAGCGAAGGTGTGGACAGCTCTGGCACCAGGGCTTCAGACACACAAAAGCCCCTCTCAGTCTGCAACTCACACGTTGGGTATCCAGATGCGGACAGTCTTGTCTCGGGAGCCTGAGGCAAGCAGGTGTCCCGAAGGGGAGAAGTTCACACAGGTGACAGCGTCTTTGTGGCCCGCAAAGCGGTAGGCACGTGACTGGGGCTTCATATGCCAGACCATGAGGCATGAGTCCATAGAGCCACTGGCTGAGGAGAGGTAGGGACTCCATAACCCTCAGCTCCAGCAGGCCTCAGGCCTCCACCAGGACACTGGGGTGGCAGGGTCAAGGGAGCAGCATTCCCTGTCCCTCCCGATGAGGAGGGGCCACACTTCCAGTGACTGTGAGCAGGGAAGCCTATGGGCTGTCAGCTCTCCAGATCAACAGATGCCATTCACATGCCAGCCCTGGGCTACAACCACAGGGGTCTCTGAGAAAACTCATCCCAATGGGGTCTCTGAGAGTACTCCTCCCACATTAGGCATTGAGAGGGTTCAACTCAATCAGATGCCTAGAGGAGGTCCCCAAAACAGATCCAAATGACTTCAATTTCCTCTTAATCTACTGCAACCCCCAGGTCAGCAACCTCTGGCAGGGGACCTTGACCAGAGGATGAAGGAGGAACCTTGTCCACAGAAATGAGAAAGCCACAGCTATGATAGCTGTGTCTGACCCCCAGGCAGCCACGGAGCAGGGGTACTCAGCTGCAGCATGCGGGTAGCAGGTAAGGGGAGAACCTGGGTCTGGTCCACAGCCCCTTACTAGTAGGATCTTCAATAAGAAGCTGCTCCCGTATTACCGGGGACAACGGAATCAAAGCAGACACAAGGAAAAGGAACCACTATTTAGGACCCATTCCACAGGCCAGACCCAAGTGGTGGCTGGGGTGTGCAGGGAAAAGCCCAGAATCCAGTTCAACCTTTAAAGGCTGTGGGATGTTGGCAAAGCCCCCAACCTCTCTGAGCCTCACTCACACTCTACATGGAGAACAGAGCTCATAAAGCCCAGTGCCCAGAGAGCTGGCCAGGTGTAACAAGATGCAAGTCTAGACAAAGCACCTGGGTCCTCCCTCACTGTGCCCTGCTACCCCCACACCTCCCAGGTAGAAACAGCTTTCTGAACTCATAACCTAGTGCCTAGGACAAGATGCCTCCTCTTACCAAGCTGCTTCATGTTGAGGCTGAAGTCCACACAGGTAACTGCATCTCGGTGACCCTTAAAATGCCTCTCCAGCGAGGGGTCCTCCTGGGGGAGAGCCAGGGTCAAATGTGTGAAGCTTGGATGAGGAAGGGGCTTCCCCACGGCCAAGACTCTTCCTATAAAAGCCAGGAGGGTTTAAAAATGCTCAAGGCAAGATCTTGTACATAGAAAACCCTCAGTAAGCCACTAAAAACTATTAAAATGAGTTCAGCAATGTTGCAGGTTATAAAATCAGTATTCAAAATCAATTTTCTTTCTGTACCCCAGCCTAGAGGAGGTCCCCAAAACAGACCAAAAATGACTTCAATTTCCTCTTAATCTACTGGAACCCCCAGGTCAATGAACAATCCCTAAAAAGGTAAGATAATTTCATTTATCACACACTAAAAATAATAAATACTTAGGAATAACTTAACAAAAGAAGGGCAAGACACGACAAAAACTACACATCATTGAAAGAAATTGAAAAAGACAGAATGGAAAGACATCCACATCCGTAGTTTGGGAAACTCAATACTGCTAAGACACAATACTCTCCAAATTGATCTGCAGATTCAACAGTCGCTATCAAAATCTCAGGTACCATTTTTGCAGAAATTGACAAACTGATCCTAAAATTCATAGGAAAATGTGAAACAGCCAGAACAGACAAAAGAATCTTTGAAAACACACACAAAAAACAGCCACTGTAGAGAAAGTCTGGCAGATCCTCAAAAAGTTAGTTATCAAATGACCCAGAAAATCTAGGTAAATACCCCATTAAATCATGTTCTCAGGAAAAACTTGTACACAAATACTCATAGCAGCATTATCCATACTAGACAAAAGGCAGACAAACCTACATTAACCATCACAGATGAATGGATAAATAAAATGTAGTACAATCACACAACATAATAGCATTCAGCAATAAAAAGGATCAAAGTACTGACACAGGATACATGGTAGATGAATACTGAGGACATGACACTAAGTGAAAGAAGTCAGACGCAAAAGGCCACGTTTTGTCTGATTGCATTTATATGAAATGTCCAGAATAGGTAAGTCTATAGAGACAGAGAATAGATTAGCAGTGCCAGAGCCTGGGGCTAGGGGAGAAATGGGGATGAAGGGGAGTGACTCCTTAATGGGTATAGGTGTCCCTTTGAGGGTGACATAAATGTTCTGGAATTAGTGGTGATGACTGTACAACATTGTGAATGTACTAAAAACCAATGAACTTTATATTTTAAAGGGGTGTACTTTATGGTGTGAATACCTCAATACAATTATTCTTTAAAAAGAACCAACAAGAGAAAATGGGGCCTTTCAGCATCCCCCATCTCAGATCCTGTACCCTCACCCACTGCAGACCAGGCAGGGAACCCAAAGGTCAAGGTCAGCCCTGGACAGCTCCCCGGGTGGGGGTGGGGGGAATCACCACCATCTCCACTCCACCCAGGGTCAGAGGAGCAGTCCTACAGGACACCGCTCAGGAAAACATGTAGCTAATATTGCAGTGATTCCCTCCACCGTACAACAGCAGCTCATGTCTTAGTACTCGGAAGAGTTATATCCCAGCTATGAAAACATCAGCCCCTACTCCAAACATCAGAATCTCAAAGATGCGTTTTGGGTGCACCAGGGAGCCCAGCAAAGTCTCCTCTTGAGAAAAAAAGTTATTGGGGCAGAGAAAAGCCACCACCATCCACAGCGAGAACAAAGGCGCCCTGGCCTTGGGCCCAGCTCCACCCTAACACACCTGCCTGAGTGCACCTTTCAACAGAAGTGGGAGCGGCCGCTGGGTGAGGGTCCCCAAGAGAGCAGCAGCTGGCCCTGAGCCTTTCGGATGAACGGGTAGAACAGTGCCCACCTCTAGGCTCCCTAGGCAGAAGCAAGTTCAGGACCACCGCTGACCAGAGGGTCCCTGAAATCTCCCAGCACCCTCCCCCCGATTCTGTGGTTCACCTCCTCCAACGATGGTTTACATATGGGGGAAAGGGGAAGGTGGTACTTGTCGGAAGAGCACTAGTCGGGGGTCAAAAGGCCCCATCCCTGTCTCGGTGTCCAAGTCCCCAGAGACGGCTGCAGGGGCCCAACTCTCAAGCCAGTCAGAAGGCCAATCGGGTACGAAACAACCGTCAAAGAGAGGGCCTTTGGAGTGCTCCCCTCTGGCCTCTGCAGGAACCTGGGACCCAGGGCACCCCCGGGGCCTGGTGTTCCCACCCGTCGGAGCAAGGTGTAACCTCAGCAAGCCCCCACCCAGCCACCCCGCTGCTCAGGACGGCGGGGCGGAGGCCAGAGAGGCCAGCGCTGGCCCAGGTCACGCCTCCAGTCAGACCGACCTAGCGTCTCCACGCTAGGCCGCCAGCCCGTGGGCAGGGGCCGAATGGTTCGCCTGGGGGCCCGAAAAGGGCCCGGCCCGCCGGAGGCGCTCACCAGAGGCCCCGGCCCAGCGCCCGCTCAGACGGCACACGGAGGAGAGGGCCGGCTCGGAACCCGGCGTCCCACCGCCCGGGGCAGGCGCCCAGTCCCCCCGGGGGAACGAGGCGGGAGGCAACCGCCGGCAGGAACTTACAGGGCAGGGCGCGGCCATGGCGGGGCCGGGCCCACGGCGCGAGGGAGCCGACCGGGCAGCGGCTGTAGTCGCGGCCCGTTCAGTTTGCGCGCCCCCAACCGCCGCCAATAGCAACGCCGTCGCCGCGCCGCGCCCCGCCCACTGCGGTTAAAGGAGACGCGGAGCCTCGTTTTTTTGTCCCCCGGACCGGAAGCAGAGCGGTCCGGCCGGCTCCGCCAGGTCCGGCCACGTCCGGCCGGCACCGTCAACGACCTCCGTCCACCGTCGCTCATCCCCTGAGAAACTAAATAGCCCAGGGTGAGCGATTCGCCCCACCAGCCCGTAGCCCGGCGAACGAGACGGCGAGCACAGTCTTCTGGGAAACGCAGTTCTAGGCGACCGCCGCCGGGCATCCGGAGGACGACAGAACTACACTTCCCAAGATGCTCTGAGGGCACGTCCGGATCCACCAGCCCCGGGGGAGGGTGGAGCATCCCGGAAGTGGAGCACACGTGAGTGTCCGCTTGCAGCGCCCTGGGGGCCAAGTTGTCGCTCAACACACCCGATAGGCGCTAGCTGTGCGCGCCTTGGGGATGACTTAAAGGGTTCGCTCCTCCGAACGTGCTTAAAACAGAACTCTAGTCACGTCTATGGAGTGGAGAAACATAGGTTCGATTCTAGCTGTCACCCTGCTTCACTGTATGACTTCGGGAAAAACACCTCCGCTTCGTGGGCCTCGGTTTCTCCATTTGTAATATGAAAGAGAATGATGCAGCCTGGCCCTCCCAGGACCCTTCGGCCCCACAACCGTTATGAATCACATATTTAAAAGAGGAGGCACTCCAGAGGCCTGGCCACTAGAGGCCGTCCCTGCTCACTTTCTGCTGTCAGGGGGCTGTCCCTAGACCTTTTTACACCTCCCCGCCCCCCTCACTCCAGGCGGCTTCCCAGCCTGGAACTGACCTGGACCGGATGTTTCGCAAGATTCAGGGACCTTACATGCCTCCCCTGGGTGAACCAGGTTGGCCAGACTCCAACACTCATTAGGATCTGGCCAGGCCCAGAGGATTCTCACTACAACCTGAGATCTAAGATGGGATACCTGGACCTGCAGACCAGTGCCCAATTAAGTAAACTCAGAAACTGGCACATGCAGAGAGCTGGCAAGTACAGCAGTGGGTCTCTCCTTTGGACTTAAAAGGTCTAGGGCTAGACGCAAGAAATAAAGATAAATTTAACCCCATCTTCATTGTGATTTGGCATAGAATTAATTCCTTTATGATAGAAATGTTCAGGCTCATTTAACGTAGATGCTGAAATTCTCTGTAAAACAACAAGCATAGTATAGTATCAATCACACACACCCCATAATTGTTCAACCCTGTTCAAAGGACAATTTTCAAGTCTCCTCACCAACATCCACATCTTACTCAGCTATTCTTTTGCTTGTTGGCCAAGCATTTAAGTTAAAAAGCTAATGACCCAGGAATTCTACTCCTAGGAATTTACCCTAAGAATGCAGGATCCCAGTTTCAAAAAGACATATGCACCCCTATGTTTATCACAGCACTGTTTACAATAGCCAAGATATGGAAGCAACCTAAGTGTCTATCAGTAAATGAATCCATAAAGAAGATGTGGTACATATACACAATGGAATACTATTCAGCCATAAGAAGAAAACAAATCTTAGCATTTGCAACAACATGGATGGAGCTAGAGGGTATTATGCTCAGTGAAATAAGCCAGGCGGAGAAAGACAAGCACCAAATGATTTCACTCATATGTGGAGTATCAGAACAAAGGAAAACTGAAGGAACAAAACAGCAGCAGACTCACAGAACCCAAGAATGGACTAACAGTTACCGAAGGGAAAGGGACTGGGGAGGATGGGTGGGAAGGGAGGGAGAAGGGGAAAAAGGGACATTACGATTAGCACACATAATGTAGGGGCGTGGCACGAGGAGGGCAGCACAGCACAGAGAAGACAAGTAGTGATTCTATAGCATCTTACTACGCTGGTGGATAGTGACTGTAATGGGGTATGTGGTGGGGACTTGATAATGGGGGGAATCTAGTAACCACAATGTTGCTCATGTAAGTGTATATTAATGATACCAAAATAAAATAAATAAAAGAAATGAAAAAAAAGCCAAGGAAGAAAAAACTAAATACAGAGAAATATCCATTAGGGTTCTTTTATTCTTGTTGGATGGTGGGGTTTTTTTGTTCTGTTGTTCTGCTTTGTTTTGTCAGTTTTGGTTATGGAATACCCCTGGTCGACAGGAGCACATAATCTACAAAACTGAATTTAGAATAAACCTTCTGTAAAATGATTTTCAAATATCAGGTTTGTTCAAAGGGAGAGGTGCTGGAAAATTTTACTCATCTTTCTTAGTCTTTCCAGATCCCACTGTATCTATACCCATTAGGGAGGAGAAGCAGGGGATGCTCCACTACCTCTTGCATTAATTCTCAAAAAAATGCAAAGAGGTCGATTCTTCCATCCACACAGACACACCAGGACCCACCCCCTGGCACAACCTGCATAAACCAAGATTGGTGCCTCCACTTTCTGACTGAGCAGCCCCCACCCCATGCCACCCTCATTAGATCAAATTTCATTTCTGACTAGGACCTCCATATGGGGGTGGGAGGTGCTGGAATAGAACTTTTTGAAGCCCCCCTATAGCAGGGATGTTTCTGTCCTGGTATAAAGCTGAGGCAGTCCATCCCGCAAGAGCCTCTCACCCTGTCACTGCTCCCAGACCACAGAGAAAAAAGGATGCAAGGCAGGAATCACACCCATGCACATGGCCCAGTCCAGCCTGCGGGGGGAAGCCCCATCAATGCAGTCAGCCTGCACTGTGGCCGGGGCTTGAATCTCTGAGCTGGACAGCTCAGAGCTCATCCCAGGGTTGGGGAGATCTAGGGGTGAATGGCTCTGCTACTTCCAGGCTGGTTGACCTAGCAGGAGTCACGCCATGTCTCGAAGCCTTCGTGTCCTTAATTGTAAAATAATTATAATATACCTGCCACAATAGGGAAGGAAGGATTCCATGAGCTATTAAATTGTGTCAGAACTTGACACTGAGCAGCCCTTAACACATTTGGCTTTCTACTAGGGCCTTAGTCACATCCCGTGCGTCCTCTGCTCCGACAACCAGCCGACAGCTCTCTGCTTCTGCCCCCACCTCCCCCGCCTCTGCTCCAGCCACACTGGCCTTCTTGCTGCTCCTGGAGCCACGGCCCCCTTCTCAGGACTCTTGCACTGGCTATTGTCCCTGAGTCCACTTGCCTCGACCCATCACTTCCATCAGGACTTTGTTCAAATGTCACCGTGTCAGTGTGGCCTTTCCTGACCGTTCTCCTCAATATGCCAGCCCACCCTCCCTTTACTCTGTCACCATCTGACCCAGGGGACATGTTGGTTCGTTCCCTTTTTTCCAAGGAAGTCAGCTCCAGGGGACAGACAAGACCATACTCCTGCACCCAACACAGGGCCCGGCCGCAGGGAACATTGCCAGATAAATAAATGATTCATGACAAGATTGCTCATTGATGGTAATGGGGTCTGTGATGGGCAGGCCTTGTTCTCAGCGGGACAGAAAGGCAGGGATCAGAGTAATCAGGAGAAGTTTCTCTGAGGGGCAGGAGCTTTGGAGCGAGTGGGGGCCTATGTAGACAGGAGAGAAGAGGAAGGACAGTTCTGGTGCCGGCAGCAGACCTCTGCAGACAGGACTGGGCGTAGAGTATCTGGGGAGCAGGGACAAAGTAGGGGGGCTCAGAAGTAGGGCCCAATTATGAGGCCACAAATGTAGGCAAGAATCAGGCATTGGTCTCAAAGGGTCAGGGGGCCACATGTCTCTTCTTAGGGCTGAGGTGAGTCAAGAGACTCCCATGGTAGCAGGTCTGCCATTTGGGGGATCCTCCCCAGCAAGTCCCACTGCAATTCTGGGCCTCAGAAGTGCCCACTGGGGAATGGGCATCCCCTGCATATCAGCCTCCTCTAATAGTAGGCCACACCCCAAGGCAGGAAGAGGTCCAGTGGAGACACAGGCTTCAACCATGGCCAGCCCTGCTCCTCCATCCAACAGTGGCAGCCATGCTGGTAGGAAGCCCACCCTGGGTGGGGACAACGGGGAGCTCCTCTGGGCAAGCATCCAGCTTAAACCTGTCCATCCCCCTTGCAAAGAGTAGATAGCATGACTGGAGCTGCCACGGCGATTCCTGGGGACAGTAATGTCAATGGACTGGGACTGGTTTCCAGGAGTGAAGACCTAGAGCTGGCCAGTAACCACAGTGCTCACTAGCCACCCAGGTCAGACGGGAATGCTCTGTATGCCAAGTCCCCCCACCCACGCTCTCCCTTCTATAGTCCCCAGCAACCCTGTGAGAGCGCTGGGCCTCCGTTTCACATTGTCCAGGGCAGCCCCACTGTGATGCACAAAGCTGAGGCCTTGCACACATGGGCTGGGGACGGGGGACAAATGCTCACAGGAGGTCTGAACCCAAAAGCTACTGACCTTCCCAGTAGATGATGTGATGGGGCTTCAGAGAAGCAGTTCTCAATCCTGGCTGCCATTCAGAACCTCTGCAGGTGGCACCAAGCATCAGTGTCTTAAAAGCTCCCCAGGGCAGTTCCCTGGGCAGCTAAGGCCCAGAGGAGGAAGGTGTGGGGTAGAGGACACAGCAGCTCCCACTGTGGGGGGCAGTGACAGGCCCGCCCAGTGTGGACTTGCCTCCCCTGCCTCCTGCCTCCCCACTTGCTCCCCTCCCGGCCCAGCTGCCAGGAGCCAAGAGTCTGTCCAGGTGACAAAGGCCTCCTGTAGTGAGGCATCCTTGGGTCCCAGGTAGGCTCAGGGGCCCACAGATCACTCACATGCTCAGGGCCAGGGTGGCACCCCCACATGCAAGGGGGAGACTGGGCTCCAGAGGGGACAAGGCTGGGCTTCTGGCCCTGGAGGAGGAAAGGGGTTTGGCGTAGATATGGGGGGTCCACTTGTCTCTACTCCCTGGGGCTCACTAACCCCTCCTGGCTCCCCATGCCCTCGGGGGAAGGCAGGTCCCCACGCCCATCCACTCCGCCCCTGCTCCCCTCCAGCCCCGCCCTGCACCCCACTCCACCACACTGTGCCTGGTCTGCTCCTCAGGGAGCAACCCTGCCCTCTAACCTTGTTCAGACACCCTCCATACACAGAAGGGGTGGCTGCCCCTCCACTGTACCCTACAGGGCTCAGACTGCCTCAGGCCAGATTCCCCCCTCTATGGCCACAGGGGCTGGGTCTCATTCTACCTGAGCACCCATGTGTTAGTTCACTCGGGTTCCCTCTCTGGAGCCTATGGCATGGATGGAAGTGTGTGTGCATGTGTGTGCATAATGACTGAGAGTAAATGTGTGTGTGTCCACATGCACACGTGTGCATGTCTGGGTTTGGCTGGCTGTGCGTGCCTGGCTGCGCCTCTGAGAGCTTCTGTGGCTGTGTGTGTCTGCTGCACGTATGTGCATGCCCATGAGAGACTTTATGTACGTAGCTGGGCTTGGGTATCTTAATTTGGGTTCCCCCAGACACTGACTCTGAGAAAGGGCTCCACAGCACTTCATTATCTGGGAGGTGGTTCTAGGACACAGCAGCAGGGAAGGGAAAGTGAGGCAGGGAAGGGAGGTGGCCAGGGAAGGCTGTGTCACTAGACAAGTCAGTCCTGTGGGTGACCGGGACCGTCACCGTCACACTGGAGAGCTTCGGACGCAGTACAGAACACACCTCAGGGACAACCCGCCCGATGGGGGAGGGCATGCAGGGCTTTATCCACCTGTTCTTGGCACTTCCAGCCTGTCCTACACCAGGCCGAGGGGCTTCTGGGGCAAAGTAAGCCCTCAGCCCAGGGGTACAGGCAGAGGAAATCAGGCTATGTACACAAAGGGCTGAGTGGGAGGGGACCAGGTGGAGTGCCAAGCCACTCTGCTGTGTGCCCATGCCTGCGGGCGTGTGCTGGTGCCCTGTGACGCTTCATGGACGCAGGTGCTCCAAGGACCTCTTCTGTGCAAGCTTCTGAGGGCCCAGGGAAAGGTCAGCACAATGGCAAGCCAGCTGTGGTCTTGTAGGGGGCAGCAGGGAGGGGGTGGGGTCTCCCCTAAGGCTGCTGGGGGTGTGCTATAGAAGGTCAGGGTATGGTGACAAGGGAGAAGGTGACAGATCGGGGCATCCTTAGGGGAGAGGCTGGCGTTGTGCAGGCCTGGGTTCCAATCCTGGGTGCAACACTGACTTGCTGTGTAACTGTGGACAAGAGTGTAACCTCTCTGAGCATTATTTCCTCGTTTAAAATGGGGATCAGAACAGAAGGCAGGTGCGTGAGTTTCCTAGGGCTGCTGTAACACAGGGCCACAAACTGGGTGGCCTGACACCAACAGTTATCACAGTTCTGGTGGCCCAAGTCACAAGTCAAGGTGTGGGTGGGGCCATTCTCCTTCCGAAGGCCCTTCGGAGGACCCTTCTTCACCTCTCTGTTTCTGGGAGCCCTGAGTCCTGGGCTGGTGGTGGCACCCCTCTAGTCTCTCCCTCCTTCTCCCCACACCTCTGTGCCCAAATCTCCCTCTACCAGGCGGAGAGGACGACTTGCCTACTTCCAGTGTGACCTCATTTTAACTTGTTTACATTTATAAAGACCCTATTTCCAAATAAAGTCACATTCACAGCAATTGGGGGCTGGAACTTAAACATAGGGTTGCTGCAAGGATAAAACCCCAAGCCTGGCATATAGTAAACTCTCAATAAATGGTAGTTTAGAAGAGAAGGCAGGCAGGGGGTGGTGGTGGGAACTGAGAAGACGGGCAGACTTTTCTGTAGGTACCCACCCACGTACTCACATGTACACACAGATGTGAGTCCAGGCAGAACACTGCTCATGGAGTTACACCCAGGAGGGCTGGGACAGCCTGTCCCACCTGCCAGCCAGGGTCACTGAGAGCCAGCTCAGGGCCGAATGTCAGCTTTCTGGACAGAAGGACCCCAAAGTCAAAGCCTTGCTCACCAGAAGAGTCCTTGGGAATCCTGAGCAGGGTCGCCACTGGCACCATGCACAAATTCACGGACAGCCCCTGCGACCAGGGCCACTCGTGATAGGGGAGGGGTGTGGGGGTACAGCCAACACAGCGCTTTGGGGAAGAGGCGGGACACAGAATCAGATGGGCCCCAAGGGGCCCCGGCGAAGGTTCTCGGCAGCCACCGGCACTGCGTCCCCTTAACTCCCGTGCCCCTGCCTGTCACACGGGCCTGGGCTAACACTCCTTCCTGCGGCTGCCCACAGGGTTGATCCCTCGGCCCGGACCCAGCTCCTCAGAGCCCCTGGATTCTGCCACAGGACACCCTGTGAGCTCAGTTCATCTGCACTGCTCTGACCTCTGGGGAGATGCGTCAGGAACACCAAGTGTGCAAGGACAGGACACAGGTCGGCACTGATAAGGTTCAGAACCAGGGACAAAGCCTGGCTGCCACAGGGCTTCTCCCCACGGCCCCAGCCTGCGGAAACCTCTGCCCTCTTCTCCGTCCACCCCCAGGGCATAAGAGCTGGCATCGGATCAGAGAGCCCTGTCCCACACCCTCCCATGGGCAGTTCCCAGCTGCTCAGGCCAGCTTCAGCTCTGCTGGACCCCGAGCTCTCTGCAATGTTCACAGAACAGCACCCCAACCCCTCGTTCCCCCCACACACACACACCTTTGCCAAGCACTTGGGAGGTGGGAACAGGGCAGTAAGCGAGAGTGCACGGCCCTGCCCTCATGGAGCCCACACACAGGGCTGCACAAGCCGCGGCACATGGGGGGCCTCTCGGAAGAGCAGGGGCACGAGGACGGCGCTCAGGGCGGGCACGGCAGCGCAAGGTAAGAGGAGGTGCTGCAGCCTGGGGACAGCACGCCGCGGGGCAGAAGGGCCAGTCACGGTGAAGGCCCGACGGGGGGCTGGCTGGGTGGGCTGGGGGGGCAGGAGACCAGGCGGGTGGCAGCAGGGCCACCGGGGTGGGTGGGCGTCGCAGCCTCCCAGGAGGACTTGGCTTCTAACGAGTGAGGGGGACCCATGGGAGGACTTCAAGCAGAGGAGGAGCTCCACGCAGTTTTCACTTGAGAGACACCCAGCCGGCTGCCCTAAGACTCAGCCATTGTCCAAGTGTGGTCTCACAGCAGCACCTGGGAACCTGGAGAAGTAGAGATTCTCAGGCACCTGCTGAACCTGGATCCCTGGGGCAGGGCGCAGAGCCCTTCTGGGAGTGCTGGGGCCCTCGGGTGGCACTGTTCAAGTGCTCCCACCCCAGAAGCTCTGAAGGGCCAGCCTTGCCCTCACCTGCCCTGAATGCTGGCCCAGGACACAGCCTGCTAAAGGCCTGCCAAAACCCACAAGCTTCACCTTTGTCCAACCCAGCAGTTATATAATGCGCTTTCCTAACTTAGTTGATCACAGAACATTTTTTTCCAGAGAATGTTATTAAACATTCTGCACGCTGACATGTCACTTCAGGTGCTCGCTGGTTATTTGCTCTGGGCTCCAGGTGCACCTGGCACGCAGCGACTGCTCAACAACTGCCCTTTGGAACCTTCCCGCGGTGACCCTGACTGGACTTGGGTGACTCACACACCCACTGACCTTTCCGGAGCCCCAGGGGGACACACTGATTCCCGGGCTGCCCTGGGACCCCAGGGCTCCGGGAGGGTCAGAATGGGGAAAGGGAAGAGGGAGGGGCTACACCTTGGCCTTTGCGGAGCAAAAATGGCTCTGGTCTGAGCACCCACCCTGCCTGAGCTCAGGGAGTTACAAAGCAGCTTCTGTAGGAGGCTGTTCGGAGAAGGCTTTGGTGGGCCTGGGGAGTCAGCCCCGCCGGCCCCGCCTCCAAGCTGGGCAGCACCTCCTCTGGCCCTTGGGGACAGTCAGGCACCAGGCCCACCTCAGGGGCCCCTCTGAGGCCTCAAGTGTAGCTGGGGTCTCCTCTGCTCCCAAGGAAACCTCACTGGCAGCCCCCTCACTGGCAGGAGGCATCTGGCCGTGAGGTTCACACAGAGACTTGGGAGCCACGTTCGGGTGCTCCAAGGAGCCCATGGCCCAGGAAATGCCAGAGGGGCCACAGGATCACAGCTGTCCCCATCATGAGGGCCAGAAGACACTAGGAACCACCAGGTCTGTGCCCCCATTAAGCAGATGGAGAAACTGAGGCAGGAAAAGAAGGGCCTCTTGTAGTCATATAGCTTGAGTGTAGTGCCCAAGGGGGCTCCCTGCCTCCACACTGGGTAGTTTGGGGAGGTACACAGAGTGGTCAGGGCATCCCTGGGCAGGATGGCCACACAGGAGGCAGGATGAGGGAGGGACAGTCAGGGCTCGTGACAGCCCTGGCCTCATCCGGGGTGTGGGTGAGGAAGGAGGTGGTGATGTCACGTCCTAGGGAGCCAGCAAGCGCATGGGGGGGGGACAGGGTGCGGAGCAAACAGCCGTGTGGCTGCGTGGCTCCACTCACGTGTGCGTGACACCATATGTGACAGTGCCACAACCATGGTCACTGCGGTCGGCCTCATCTGTCCACCTGCGGCTTCATGTGGCTGTCAGTACAGGTGTCACTGTCCCTGTGATTAGAGTGGCTGGGCACGTGGCCGCACACAAGGGGGTGGTAGTGACTCTGGCACCTGTGGGCCTGTGACCGCATGTGAATCTGTGAATGTGGCCAACAGGCAGCCTGGCAGGAACCTGGCCCTAACAGGTCCCAGACCTGAACTCACTGCAGAGCTGCAGCGGTTTCCCTTCCGCCAGGACATGTGCAGGCTGTGGGAACAGCGTTTTTGAAACATAGTTACCCAGATATAAAGGGAAAGCCCTCCTGCGTGTAGCCACAGCCACATGGCGTACTGGCCACAGAGCACAGCAGAAGGTCCAGGAAGGGCTTGGGGTCTGGGATGGGGCAGACTTGCCGCCTGCCCTATGGCCCGTCCTACAGAACCCTGAAGTCGGGTCAGCACCATGGAGCCTCAGCTGGGGCTCCCACACGCACAGTCCATGGTCCAGGCCCAGGGAGAGCACAGAGCAGGCATGGACAGCTGCACAGACACCTGGGGGCCCATGGGGGCTGGCACAGGGAGGAGAGGAGGGTCGTGGCAGGGTGTCAGGACGTAGGCACTCACACCTCTCCCCTGGGCAGGCTTCTGAAAATGCCCAAGCAACCGGGTGCCTGGGATATGACCCCGTGTGGACTCTCCTGCCCCCTCGGGGCAATCTGCCAAGCAGCCACCTGCTTCTCACTTTCCACACTTGCCTCTCTGCTGACACAACCTGCCCACAAACTGCCCTGAACCTGGGGCCTGAGGACTGTCCCCACACATGCATTCCCACAGCCCATGAGGAATCCGTCCATTCATTCACTCATGAGCCCATTTGTTCATTCATTCATTCAACAAATGTTCGTTGAGTACCTCCTGCAAGCCACTGGCCCTGCTGACCCCTCCCCCAGGTCCCCAAGTCAGAACAACAACAGCAAAGTCCCAACAGATCTCCATGTGGGCCGCTCAGAAGAGGAACCTGGGGCCTGGGTGGGATGGTGGCCGTTAGCTGGAGGGAAGCTCTGAGCTGGTGTCACAACCAGACACTGCATCAAGCCGGATGGGCTCTGGGTTGGGCAAATGTCGCAGCTGCCCTCCCCCCTCCCAAGGCCCCCTGGCTCGGTCTGGCACTGTCACTCTGCCTAAAGTCCAATCTGCCTCAGCCAGGACTGAGCCCCAAGGCTTCAGAACCGTGCCACCCACACCCCAAGGAACAAGGTCCATCTTGGCTGGCTCCCGGGGCCACCAGGTCAGGCCCAGCCTGCCTCTGCTGCCCCCCATTCCCCCTGCCACCAGCTACATGGGCCCATGGCTTCCAGGGACTCCTCCCACCCACCCTCCTCAGGGCCCTCAAAGGCCTAGGACCCCAGAGCCCCTTCCGAGGGCTGCCCACGCCCCCCATGCCCCATCCCCACCTCCTGGCTCTATTTTGTCGATAATAATGGTGATATAATGACGCATATCCCCCCTTGGCACTGGGCATGACCGACGCTCCCAACTTTCCTGTTATACAGCTGGAGGCGGCCAAGAGCGTGGACCCCCAGCCTGGCCTGCTCCCCTTCCGACCATCACCTGGTTGGCCCCTTCCCATCCTTCAGGACCCACCTCAAATGTCCCCTCCTCACAGAGGCCTCTCCAAGCCCCGGAAGCAGTCCCTGTTCTGGCCACTCAGAGCACCCACAGGCACTCTCGCTGTACTGTGATCACACGCTTGCACACGCTGTGCAGCTGCCCCCCCCCACTAGACTGTCCACCCCTGAGAGCAGGACCACATCTGCCTTGCTCACAGGTGCCCTCCCAGAACCTAGTTCAGGGCTTGGTAAACGGTAGGTGCACAGCAAGGATCTGATGAGTGAATAAACCTATTTATCCGTTTCCCAAGAGCCACCCCACTCCAACATGGATCTGAGGCTGCTTACAAAAACACATTCAATATAAGAGAAAAACCAGAAAGTTGGAATCAAAGATTCTCACCTTTGACTTAGTGACTTTATCTCTAAATATGCCACAGAAGTTTTCACCCCATACAAGGGGGCAAGTTCAAGGAAATTCATAGGAGAAACCCCATAGAAACCACCATGCAACTGGTAAGGGACAAGGTGGGCGAGCCAGGAGCTCGGGAGCCGTGGAGTACTATGCAGCCATAGAAAAGGCAAGGCCCTGTTCACTCATGGGGCCCTCGCCAAGCTATCCTGTGAAATACAAGAGCAAGTAGCAAATGAGGAGGATTGCATTTTAAAAGTGCCACCTGGACATCTAGTAGTAGATGGACATCTGATCAATTGGTAAGTGTTGAATGGACAGGTGGGATCTTCCTGGAAGGACCTATGAGAACTTGGGAGCAGTGGCTGTGTCCACTAAAAGCCTGGGTAAGGGGAATTTCTTTGCTTACTATGTCATACTATTTGCATTTTTACCATCTGCAAATATTATCTACTCAAATAAATATTTTTGTTATTAAAGATCACGAAGAATTCAAAGGGCACACATAAAAATCTAGATGTGTAGCTTCTTTTTAAAAATGGGAAGGAGGCCTGGCCATACCGGGCTCTGTTCCTGAGGATGATGATGGCCGGAGCTGAGATGTAGCTGCCCCTTAGCTCGGGGGGCCCAGGGCACCCGCTGCCCTCCCCCATCTGGGTACCATGTCTGCCCTGCAGAGGGCTGAGCTTGCTACATCGGCAGGGTGGGGAGTGGGGCTGAGGAGGCTTCCCCAAGGTGAGGGGTCATTTGCAGCCATCACTTCTATGCTGACTTCACTACAACTCCAAAGGCCACAGCAGGGCCGTGACAGTTCTGGGGCTGGTGAACACCGGCATGTCACGAGGCTCCCAGTCTTGCACAAGAACCTGTTAACTCAGTGCAAGCCAGGGCCCAACACTGCTTGTCGTCTTATCACCCCTGCCAGGGCTTGAGGGCTTTGGTTAAGCCCCAGAGGACCCCTGGAGTGAGGGAGCCACCAGTGAGGTGACCCTTGGGCACCTTGGCCTGAGGGTCCTGGCGAGGAGGGGCCAACAAAGTGAGGACACGCTGAAAGGGGTGGGAAGGCAGTCCCGCCTCCAAGCCTGCCTCCAGCTCTGAACCTCTAGACAAGCCACTTTCCCGAGCCTCAATTTCCCCGTCACCTGTAGCCACCAGGTAACACAATGCAGACTGTTTCCAGGGGCTGTGCCTCCCCTGAGCATGGAGGCAGGTCTCAGTGAGGCCTTGTGCCAACTCCGTCCCCACAGTGTCCGCCACAGTGTACATATATACATACATATATTCAGTATATATGGAGAGAGATATTTTTATTTTAAAGAACTGGCTCACCTGACTGGAGAGGCTGGCAAGTATGACCTCAGCAGGGCAGGCAGCAGGCTGGGGAGTCAGCAGGGTTTGCATTACAGCTTGCAGCCAAGCCCTCTGGGAAACCCTGGTTTTTGCTCTTCCGGCCTTCAGCTGTTTGCATGAGGTTCATCCACATTATCAAGGAGAATCTCCCTTAAGCTCAACTGATTGTAGATTTAGTCACATGTACAGGCTACCTTTACAGCAGCCTGGTGTTTAACCAAACCACACAGCTGACACATAACACTTAGGCCTGACAGAGAGCATTCCTCTTTTTGTACATGTCCGTGGAAGCTCAGAGAGGTTGTGCCAACTGCTGAAGGCCCCCAGGCACAGAGGATGGAGCTGGGAGCTGAGCACGAGCCTGCCTCTGTCCCTGGGGAGTGGGGCTACGGCAGCTACTCACAGGGCATGTGCGAGAATCAGCTACAGAACCATGCAGAACAGAAGTACTGGGGCCATGCCTGCAGTGGAGACAGAATTCAGTGAGGCAGTGGCTGTCATGCAACTACCTCCACATTGCGATGAGCTCTAGAATGCAGGGCACAAAGCCCCCAGCCCCCAGGGTCCCTCTCCTCCCTCCATCGACCCCAAGCCGATGACCAGGCACACGGGACAGTGACAGAGTTGCATGGCGTTGGGGGGCCAGAGGGAGTCTTGCCTTCTGAGGCCATGGCTGGCTGCCCAGAGGCTTCTGGAGGTGGGGGACTTCCACTAAGAGTCAGGCGGGCAGGCTCCTGGGCTGGGAGCCCCCATCCGCCTACCCAAGCTGGGCCGATCACCCAGAGGTACAGAAAAGCTTCCACTGAGACCTGAGCCCCTGCAACAGTGCCAGCCTCCGTCCTCCCAGCTTCCCCAACCTCCCCGGAGGGCACCAGACCAGAGGTGAAGGCCAGAAGCTCAGCCATGCTCTCCACTTGCTGGCAGTGTGAACTTGGGCAACTGACTTAACCTTTCGGAGCTTCTCTCCTGTGTGCAGGCCAAACCATTACCTTGACCTGCAGGGTGGCCCTGAGGACCCCTGACACTGCATGTGAGCATGAGCACAGCACCAGGCCAACGTCTGAGCAGAGCTGCTCTCGCCGCCATACTTGCTCACCTCACCGCGCTGTCCTCCCCTCCTCCTCCCCACAGCTCCTGCCCAGCCAGGGCCCCCGCCCCAGCCTTCTTCACACCCCGCCACCTCCTTTGTCCCAGCTCCCCCACAGCTGGGCGGCTCTTTAAGTGCCTCCAGGGCTGGAGAAAAATGAAGGCATCTACCTTGGTTGGTCAGCCAACAGTGTTGGTAACAGTGGGGTCCTGGCAGCAGGCGGTGGGGACTCTGACCATCCCCCCAACTCACACACACCTCCTTCCCTCGGCCTCCTGATGTCCCTCCTCCACCCCAGTTCCTCTGACCTTCACGGGGGTCCTCAGCCTGGCTGCTCTGATGCAGCATCAACTTGACACCAGGTGCCAGCTCTGGGGCGGGTCCCGTGCACTGCCATTCCCTGTCGCAGCACCCTTGCCCGCAGCAGGGTCTGTGCCCCAGCAGCCCAGGAGGGCAGGGAACAGGGCTCCTCCACACTGTGCATCTGGCACAGGCCAGAGGAGGCAGGCTTAGCCTGCTCCAGTCCATCACCCTACCAGCCCCCAGCACCCTGTCATCCTAGCACCCCATCATCAGTCCCCCATCACCACAGAAGCCTGATCCAAACCCAGGGGCTGGGAGCTGGGGGGATGAGAACCAGCCTGGGGAACCCAGTCCCTTCCAGAGCCCCTTGCAGCCCAGCTGACCCCTGCCTTAGGCCCCCCGCCCCAGACCCTCCTCCAGGTGCTGTGAGGGCAGAAGAGCTGGTATGTGACTCTGATCCCGTTAAGGCCCAAACCTCACTTGCCATGTGGCCTTGAGCAAATCCTCTCCCCTTTCTGGTTCTCAGTCACCCAGGCTCTAAGACAGGTAGGACACACCCCAGATGCCTACAAGGTGGGACCCAGGTGCCACTGCTTGGACATCACATGTCCTCAGGGTTGGGGTCACTGAGGGAGGGCTGGGGGAGGGAGAGGGCACATCCTGCCTGGCCAGCCCAGGTGCCCCAGGCCTGCTGACTCCTCCAGAAAAGCTGGAAATCTGAATTTAATTTAACCATCTCCTGACTGCTAAATGCTGACAATTAATGCATATTTTTAAAAAGCACTACGTGGGTTAAAAAGAATATGCCTGGGCCACAGTTTGTGGGTTCTAGGCTGGAGGGCAAGGCTCAGAGGCCCTGCAGGGCTCTCAGGAGGGAAGGATAGTGTTTGCTCTTTTAAAAGGGGGATGCTTTTCCCTGTGTAGCCCCCCACCTGCCTCCTGGAACATTTGATGGCTTTGCCTCACCACAGCCAGCCCCTTTCTCCCCTGGCTAATCAGAGCCCAGCCCCTGCCCTGAAGCTGGCTTCACAAAACCAGGTCCCAGCCTGCCCCAGGAGGGCCAGAGCCTGATAGGGTTCCAAAGGCAGGGCCAGCACAAGGCAGGTGTTGTTGACCAGATCCCTTCAGCCCTGCCCAACCCCCAAATTCCATCTCCATGACAATTCTTGGGCCCTGTGAACTAAACCTCAGAGCTCATGTTTCCAACCCTCCAGGGCAGAGAGGAGCTGTTTCCAGAACTTCCTGCACTGTGGGAGGCTGGCCCCCAACCGGCTACTAGACAGGCAGAGCCTGACACCCAAGGGGCGCCACGAGGCCAGCGCCAAGCCCACACCAAGCACCAGCACAGGCTGAAAGTTTTAACCATCTTTCAAACTGTCCCACGTCTACCCAGTCTCCTTGAGGGGAAGGCCGGTAGGATTTCTTGCCTGCCTGACTGAAGCCCACAGGAGAGCAGTTAGCTTGCCCGAGGACCATGCACTACTTGACCCTCACAGGGGGGCACTGCTAAAAATAGCTCCTGGGGCCCAGAGTGGAAAAGGATGAATCTTGTGGGGCTGGGGTTGACACTGTCCTTCAGCCTTGACCACTGAATGGGTGCTGTGCGCAGCAGCCCCTGACCGTGACGATGACCAGTGACGCAGACTGGGCGGGAGGAAGGAAGTGGAGGAGGCCAGGCCCCAGCGTCAGCCCCAAAATGGGACCTGACCTTGTCTGAACTCCAGCAGCTTGGCTCCCAGGGCCAAGGGTGATAAGATGAGTCTGTACCACAGCTCTGTGAGGCGGGCAGACAGGAGTGGGGAGAAAAGGGAAGCAAGAGTGGAGGGAAGGAAGGAAAAAGAATTGGGGAGCAGGACGGCTGAACCCAGGAGAGAGACCACACTGTGCAACGCTGGGGCCCATCCACCTCACGGTGAGGCACTCCCACTGTCACAGATGCAAAAACTGAGCCTTAGGGCATGGGGTCATTTGCCTAAGAGCCCAGAGTCAGAAAGTGGCAGTGCCAGCATGAGAACTCATGGCCATAGACCTTGCCCTTCAAGGTCTCAAACTGTAAAGTACTCAGGGAGCATTTCCCAAAATGTGACCCCAGGATTCCAACCCCCAAGATACCAACCTTTCCCTCTATCAAGCAGGAAACTCCCAAAGGGCTGGAGACTTGTGGGCTTAAACAGTAAGCCTGTGAAACCCATGACTTCACCTGCGTCTCCTGCCAACCACAGGCGGCAGGCTTGGGGAGCTTTACAGAGAGGAAGCTGAGCCTCAGAGAGGCTGTGGCCTGCTCACAGCGCCCCATATGTGGCCCCCATTACCAGGACAACAGTCTGATCAAAATGCAGATTCCTGGGTCAGAATCAAAGGGGCCTGGCCCAGGAGCGTGCGTTTTGACCAGTGCCCTGACAGTATCATTGAGCACTGACGCTGCGAAGCTCTGTGACTCTTTTATGGCCTTTCTGGTCTGAGCTGGCCCCAAGCCCAAGCTGCACCCCTGCAGCCCGGCTACTCGGGCTGACTCACACTGCCCCCAGGACAGGCCTGGGCCTTTCCCACTCAGGGCTCCAGCCACTAGCCTCCCACCCCCATGTACACTTACTCTCCTGGCCAGCACTGTCTTCCGGAAGCCTTCCTGGTGGCTGGGATATCCCGCCTTCAGCGTCTGTTGGAGTAATGGCCTCCTCCTCCATCTGCAATTGTTTACAACATTTTTTTTTCACTTTCCATGTGATACGGCTTTGTTTCCCAACCTTTCCCTCTGTTAAACAGGAAACTCCCGAAGGGCTGGAGACTTGTTGGTTTAAACAATAAGCATCTGAAATCCATGACTTCACCTGCGTCTCCTGCCAACTACAAGTGGCAGGCCTGGGAGAGCTTTACAGTGAGGAAGCTGAGCCTCAGAGAGGTTGTCGCCTGCCCCAGGGCAGGAGATCCAGAGCTGGGGTGGGAACCCAGGCCCAGGGCTGTCTGCAGGCAGGCAGAACAGCAGCTATGACCCCATTGCCTGGATGAGGAAAGGGAGGCCCAGAGATGGGCAAAGCACGTGACACGACATTGGCCGTTTCTACTTCTATCTGCCCTGGGGTCTGAGACCAAGGGCTGACCTCTTGTTGTGCCTCTCTACAGCTAATGGGCACTGCCAAGAGCCCCTCAGCAGGAGGGGGCACAGCAGGGCCTTGGAATGCCAGGTGAGAGCCCTCCTCCTGGGCCTCTGGACAAGCACCCATGCCTCTCTGGACCCAGGTGCCTCCTCTGCAGGTAGAGACTCACTTCACCTGCCTTGCAGCTGGCTGAAGACTCAGAGAGAGGGAATTGGGAAGTACCTGGACACACCTTGGTCAGCATCACTCTGGACTTTGCCCCTCTTATTAATGCCCATCTGGGGAAGGAGCAACCTGGGCGCCCCCTTCCTAAGAGTGCAGGATGGCAGCCGTGAGCATGGCACAGGCCCGGCCAGCCCAGCCCAGCCCGGCCTGAGTTAGGCTGGAAAGGGTGTGGAGCAAAGAGGCCAAGCCTGCGTTCCTGAGAGGGGTTTGCCAAGTCCTTCCCTGCAGGTGTGGTCTGGAGAAGACTCAAAGAGGGCACAGCCCAAGCTGAACTCTGGGAAGGGGTACTGAGCCACTCGGCCCATGCCCTGCGTGGCCAGCAGGGAACGTTGGACAAGCCCCAGTTAAAATAAAAATAACAGTATGTGTCAAACGCTAACTATGTGTAAGTGCTGTGCCTCCACAACCCTGACCCCGGGGGGCGCAGAGCTGCGGAGTATATGGGTTCCGTCCAGCCCTATTCTTATACCTTCTTGGCATCGGGTTAAGTCCCTTCATCCCGTACCGGAAAGTGCCCATCCGTTTCTGCTCCTCCTCTTCACTCCGAGGACCCCTCCAGCCCCCTGCGCGTCAGCCCAGAACCTCTCCATCCTTGGGCACATCCAGCCCCACCTCCTCCGGGAAGCCCTCCGTCACGGCCGCGAGAGCAAGCTCCACCGGGCAGATCCTGCTCAAGACCCTGGCCCCGAAGCCGTTTGCCCGCCGTCCCTCCCCTGTGTCCGCGGCACGCGTTTTACAGCCCTAAAAGCCCCCCGGGGACTGGCGGTACCCCCAGCGCTGGGGGCGCAGGCTCAGGCCGCCCGGCCGGCCCCCACGCCGGCAGCTGGCCCGGTCAGCCCCGCGAGCTCGACGAGGTGCGCCTGCGCAGAGGGCCCGCCCAGAGCGCAGGCGCGGCGGTGCCCGCTATATATAAAGGCGACGGTGCCTGCGGCCTGCAGCTCTGCTCAGACAAGGGCGCCGGAGTGGTTCGAACTGCTGGCCCGCGTGCCGCCGCCGTCCCCGCGCAGGTGAGCGCCCGCGCCCTGGTAGGCCCGGGCCGGGAAGCCCCGCGTGCTCGGCCAGCCCGCGCCCCGCTGCCCCGGCCCGGGCCCCATCCCCCACCCCCCCGCCGCCGCTCGGGCTCAGCCCTCATCCCCGGACCCTTAGCCCCTGGGACACCCTAGTGTCCCCGCTCGGCCATTCCCCGTTTAACTGGCCGCCTTAGAATTCCTTTCTCATACCCTTCTCGTTGTTCTCGAGCCCTTGGCCCCCGGATCGCCTCTGGCCTCCCCCTGCCCAGGACCACCACCTTCCGCCAGGCCCTGCGCCTTGGGCGTTGTGGCCCCTTGCCCTCCCCAGTGAGCACCGACAGCGCTTCCCCTCATACCCTTTCCTCTCTTTATGCCCCGCTTTCCCAGTTACGCCCAGTTCGCCGACCTGTGAGGGCACCATCTCCGGCGAATCCCGGCCTCAGGGACCCAGGGCCCGGCTAGATCCCTTCCTGAGGCTTGGGGGTATTCCCGGGACCAGGAGATCAGGATCCCTGAGAGTGGCTCTGTCTGGATGGGTGACAGTGGCTTCCTCCTTCACCTCACTTCTCCACCTGGGTGTGTGCCAGGTTCTTATCTGCACTGTGTGTCGCCTGGAGGAGCCTCTAACTTCCCAAACCCGTTCCTGACGTGTCCCTCACTGTCCCAGCACCTTGGTTATTAATCATGGGTATTTTCTTCATTTGGTAAAGTTGCTTTGCAGGTGCTTTTGTGTAGACGCGGGGAATGAAGATGTTGCTGGTTTGAGTGGAGTGCAGTCACCAGTCTGCAGCCGAGTCTCAAATCAGTGTTGTCCTTAGACACTTTTAAGTGACACTAGTATCCCAGGGTACCCTTGCCATACCCTGCAAGTGACCCCTGAAGTCAGTGACCCTGCATGGTTTTTGCTTGATTATAATAAATATTGGTGTCACTCATCTTTCTACAGGACCAGTTGCCTCCCAGAAATGGAGACTGTTGTTCGCCGCTGCCCCTTCTTATCTCGAGTGCCTCAAGCATTTCTGCAGAAGGCAGGCAAATCTCTGTTGTTCTATGCCCAAAACTGCCCTAAGATGATGGAAATGGGGGCCAGGCCAGCCCCTCGGGCCCTGTCCACTTCCACAGGGCACTGCCAGCAGGTCAGAGAAACCCCTCCGGCCAGTGAGAGTAAGTGTCACCGACAGAAAAGCAGGGGCAGCAGCAATGCACCTATTGCAGACTGGAAGCAGTTCTGGTCGCAGTGGTGATGTGGGTCGGGCTAACCCTAGGGGGACTACTTCGTGCCAGGCTTGGTCATTGTCATCCTAACCCCACAAGACAGGCATTTCCACCTTTGAAGGTGACACTGGCCTGTGTTGGCATTACAGGTTCCTGGATTGCATGTCAGTGTCTATTAGGGGTTTAGTGTTAGTGCCTCATACGTATAAATAAAAAGTTAGATTGTTGTAAGTCAACCTCTCCTTCATTAAATATTTGGCCCTTGGGCTTTTTTTTTTTTTTTAAGAGTTTATGTTTTAGCACAGTTTTAGGTTCACAGCACAACTGAGTAGATGCTTTAGGCTTTAAAAGTTGTGATTTTATTTTTCTTCTTTAAATTAGTTTTTGTGGTGAAATGCACTTAACATAGAACTTAACCATCTCAAACAGTTTTGAGCATTCCGTTCAGTGGTGGTAAGCACCCTCACACTCTTGTGCAGCCACCACCATCATCCATCTTTAGAACTCTTTCATCTTCCTAACTGACACTCTTTCCCGTTAAACACTAACTTCCCATCTCCCTCCTCCAGTTCCCAGCCCCCGCCATTCTACTTTCTGTTTCTATGTGTGTGGCTGCTTATAGGAACCTCACAAGTGAGATCCTACGGAATTTGTTAAGAGGGTGATGTTTTTAAATGTGTATCTTATGTTGGATATGCATTTTTTAAATTTTGCTTTTCATAAAGAGATAAAAGTTCAATTCCCTTTGGGTCTGGCTATGCCAAAGTAGATGCGGCTGTTCAGATTCCGCTTAGTCCTGGAGAATAGTTCACCTTACGGTCCCTGTTAGGTGTGTTCTCTGGATGTGGACTTGTAAGAAAATAACTTTTTTTTTCTTTAAGTAGAAAGGGTTTAATCCTTTGTAGGATTTCTTTTCGTCTTTACCATACTCGGGTTAGTTATGTTTTCTTACCTCTTTTACCTTTCTGTCACTAGAGTAGAGGAATGGTTGCATAAAATGTCACTTATCCACTAGAGAGACTACCATGCAGCCATCACAAACAGTGTTCACAAACGACTGACTAGCTTAGGCAGATCTTTATAATGGAAAGGGCAGAATAAACCAGGATATACAGAATAAGTAAAACTTTTTAAAAACCTGTCCACAGGGAGAAAAGATAATACACCACGATGTCTGCAGTGCTTCTGTTTTGAATGATGAAACTCTTTCTTTATCTAAACTTCCTACAGTGACTATGTATTACTTCTATAATGAATGAAATGAACTTCAAAGCAATTTTTTTTACTTTCCTTTTCAGAAGGTTTTAATAAAAAGTGCATTGAAACACCTTACCCAAGTGGCAGGAAAGGCTAGCCTATGACTCAGGACTATTCCAGAAGGATGAAGAAAGGCTTCTAGCAGGAAGGGAAATGAATTTGCTGGGGTTGGGGGGGATTGGGGCGGGGAATCATCGTCACCAGAAGCATAATTAGCATCCAATTGCGTTGTCAGTGAACTTCTTTGGTGCATTTAGATGAGGCATCTGAAGGTGGTAACCCTGTGATTTTTCTCTTAGCATACGAATAATTTGAACCCTACTAGATGACAATCTAAAGACCTCACTTTCAGGCTAATTTCTCTTGTTAAGAAGAAAACCAGTAGTTTACATGGTAAGCAACAGAAAGCTTCTTTGTCAAGAACCTGTTTAGAAAATACTAGCAGAGAAAAAATTGTACAAATACTTCCAGTTACCTCTCATCAGGTATGCTGAGAGGACGTGGGGTAGACATACTGGAAATAATCCAACTCAAGAACTCCGGGCTGTCTGGAACAAGAGAAGATGTCTTAAGGGATTTATAAATGAGAAATACTATGGGCTTGAGAGGTAGCTGGACTGCGCCTCGTTAACTCTTCACAGGGGCATTGTTTCCAGTGAAATTAGGAGAACCTCATGAAAATAAACTTGTGTCTGGATTGTGGGGTCAAAAACATAGTTTGTGTTTGAGGCAGTGAGGAAAAGAAACAAGTGGTTTTCTTGTAAATTGTACAACCAGATCTGATGCCTCAATTTTTCCATTTACCTCTCAGAGGACAAAACTGCCAAGGCTGAGGTCCAGCAGGCCCCAGGTGGGTCCCAGCAGGCTCCAGGTGGCACCCAGCTTCCATCTGGACACCCTTCCCTTGCCGCGAGCCAGGGCACTGCCAGCAAATGCCCTTTCCTGGCAGCCCAGATGAGCCAGAGGGGCAGCAGTGTCTTCCGCAAAGCCAGCCTAGAGCTTCAGGAGGACGTGCAGGAAATGCATGCCGTGAGGAAGGGTAAGTGGGCGACGTGAGCCATTAGGAAGAGTGGAGCGCTCCTTTTGGCTCTTTGGACCCTCGGATTTATGTGTGAGCTATTATTAGGCTAGCATTTGTGTAAACACCTTCCTCTTTTAGGGCCAAGGAGGAAGGTCACCAAGATAGACAATCAGAGGGCAGTCTGGCAAAATATGGGACTTTCTGGTGCGTGTGTAGGGTGACAAGCTTTTATAGTAACTGCTTAATTTCTGAAGATAGTCTGCAAGCATGAGCTCTTAGCAGCTGATCTTTGCTTCTTCCCCCCAGTCTTGTGAAATGAAAGGGAAAAAATAGTGTTACCATAGTGAGTGATGGTCTTAGGCCTCCCAAGCTGTGTGTCTTACCGATGGTCAATGAGTGGCAACCTTCATTCCAGTTGGGGCTGTATCCACAAGAGCACCCAAGTCCCCCAAAAGTCCTCACCAGCAGAAATGGCACATGTGGCTGGAATTGTTTTCTGTGAAGAAAATTGAGATTAGGTTGGGGGCATGGGGCTGGGGAGGCGCACCAACCAGCTAGAGAGCTTTGGACTTTAATAGTCATTAAGGCTGGCTGGTAGCTCTGAAACCCATACCAAACATTGGCCATTACAGTAACTAATTACACGGAAGACGAGAAGCTTCATACACTCAGTTACAGCTAACTGGTTTTGATCAGACTCTTTTGTGAACGAGGCAGGAAGCCATTTTTGACAGTGTCTCTGGAAGGCATCGTGAACTCAGTAGAATGTAAGTCTCCTTCGCCTCTTGTCCCTTTTGTCACAGAGGTTGCCCAGACCTCAGTGAGCCCCAGTGTGATTGGTGTGAAGACCGACGGCAGGGAGCCAAGCGGGTTGCTGAAGAATTTCCAGGATATCATGCGAAAGCAAAGGCCAGAAGGCGTGTCCCATCTTCTCCAAGATAACTTACCAAAATGTAAGTCGTGTTGGTATCTGTTGACGTGAGAGAGAGTATATGACTTAAACGTACATGAGAGTAAACATAAAATTGCATGGTGAGTCATGGATCAAAAGCCATGTCCCCTGCTGGACACGAGTCGGTGCTCTTGGTCAAAGTGAATGGAGGTCCTGTTGGCAGCCTGCCTTCTCTTCCTCCACACACTGGGCCTTGGACTAAACACTTGATGGTCCTGTTTGAGAAGCACATCATCTCAAGATGTGGACCTTAAAGTAACTTGCCTGGAGGAGCACCTCCATAATTTGTCCAGAATCTCCCTGCTACTAAGCAACCGAGCTGGGCTTGGAACCGAGGTCTTTTGCCAAAGCCCAGATGCTTCTTAACCATCAGACTGTGCTGTCCTTTGGTTTTTAGCTGTTTCCACTTTTCAGTATGATCGTTTCTTTGAGAAGAAAATTGATGAGAAGAAAAATGACCACACCTATCGGGTTTTTAAAACTGTGAACCGGAGGGCACACGTCTTCCCCATGGCAGATGACTATTCGGACTCTCTCGTCACCAAAAAGCAGGTGTCCGTGTGGTGCAGCAACGACTACCTGGGGATGAGCCGCCACCCACGGGTGTGTGGGGCCGTCATGTGAGTAGCCCTCAGCTCTCATATGCTGACGCTATACGGCGAAACATTGGTGATTTATAGGGATTGGATCTTTTATTGGAATACTCAGTAGCTGAAAGTGTGCCATAGCAAAATACTGTGTTTGGCCTTTTAAAATATCTACAGATTACTTTAAAGAAACTGTAATACGCAAGTAGTTGGTGGAGCCTCTTCATGTGAGAGGGTTCCAGTTTATGGGCGCGTTGGCACCACGTGGCCATTCACTGCCTGGCATGCCACACATGAGTACGCCTGAACACCAGGCAGTCTTGCTCACAGGCATGCTTGCTCATGGCTGTGGGCAGAGAAATACAAATCTAGCAGCACTGGAGAGAAAGCGTCCTCAAAAGGACACTAAGAAAGGAGGTAGAGCCCATCCCGTGTCCTTGAGGCTTGCCGTGGCCGGGGACACTTGAGAGAGTCACCTGCCAGACTCGCCAGGGAGGCTCAGCACCTCTCCAAGGCGCTCGGACAAGAGCACAGTCTGAGGTTTGCTGGCAGGTGGATCTGCGGTCTGTTGTTATGTGACTGGGTATAGGGTTAGGTAGCCACTATCCGGAAGGTCCCTCCAGAGACAGGTTGGTACTGGGGAGTGATGTTCATGTGAGAGAAGAAGGCTTAGGCAGTCAACTCGGCTCCTGCCAAGAACTTAGTGACTGTTAAATGGACACGGGTCCCTGGTGCCCCCTAGGGGTGTCCCGCCTAGTCTCCAGATGAAACTTCTAGAACTCCTGGCCCCGGTCTTGGCCGGGGAGTTTCCAGATCAGCAGGCTTTTAGTCCCCCAGATGCTGGAAGGGATCGATTTTTGCACAGTGTTCAGACCATGGGATTAATTCTCTGTCTGCCTGTGTTTTTTAAGGGACACTTTGAAGCAGCATGGCGCGGGAGCGGGTGGTACTAGGAATATTTCCGGAACTAGTAAATTCCATGTGGACTTGGAGCAGGAGCTGGCCGACCTCCACGGGAAAGACGCGGCCCTCCTGTTCTCCTCCTGCTTCGTGGCCAATGACTCGACTCTCTTCACTCTGGCCAAAATGATGCCAGGTGAGGAAGCCCACTGGGACGCCTTAGGGTTTTGGGGGTGTCTCAGTAACACCGGGGACATTGACAACACAGAAAGCCTGCCAGAAACGCTCCGTCAGGAGGAACGAGTGCGGCGGAGAGACTATGACCAACAGTGTGGCCACAGCTCGGTGCGGTAGTGGAGTGACTACACTCGCCGGGCGAGCAGCCAGGGGCGTATATCGTGATGATCAAGTTGCCGTTTTCCCTCTGACAGCATCGGGAAGCGTTTCTTTTTAAATTGAGCAGGAGCAGGACATCAGTGAAGAATCACATTTGAAAGGCTCGTCATCAGTGCCGATAGGCCTACCGCTTCACATGGCTTTGTGTTTTAGGAAAATGCTTTGGAGAATTCTCTTCACCACTTGTAGTTATCTTTTGGCTGGGTTTGGAGGGAGGCAGCCAGATATAAAAGCAGGTGAATTGCCTACCCTGGGGTGACCCTACCCCTCGGAGCTTTCTCCAAGGAGAAGCTATGCTGCCGAGAAGAAACCGGCTTGTGGCCTCTTCTCCCTGCTGGGCAGAGCTGCCTTTTCAGGGCAAAGTGTACAGTCCCTGGCTGTCTGGGAAATAGTTTGTCCTCGGTGCAGATGGCAATAACCAGCATCTTTATCCTGGCAGGCTGCGAGATTTACTCTGATTCTGGGAACCATGCCTCCATGATCCAAGGGATACGGAACAGCCGAGTGCCGAAGTACATCTTCCGCCACAATGACGTTGGGCACCTCAGAGAGCTGCTGCAGAGATCAGACCCCTCAGTCCCCAAGATCGTGGCATTTGAAACTGTCCACTCCATGGACGGTAGGTGTACATAGAGGTCCATCTGAAGCCTTAAAAACTAGGCCTGAATTCTTTTTTAAGTGTGCTGTTTATTTTGTTTTGCAATTCCTTTTCACACTCTGCCAGGATTTTGTGATTGGTGGACCTTGTATAGATTTGGATGTATGTCGATTTTCTACTCTGGCTTTTATTAAGCTCTAAGGCCCACAGATAACCTAGAAACTGGGGGAAGTTCCTTTTTTTCCCCAAAACTAAAAATAACTTACTTAGAACATAAGTTATTTTGTTCTGACTGACTCCTGCCAGAACAGACATTTATGAAGTAGCAAGCTTTTCAGAGTGGTCGGTGGTCTTTCCTCAGGCGCGGTGTGCCCACTGGAAGAGCTGTGTGATGTGGCCCATGAGTTTGGAGCAATCACCTTTGTGGACGAGGTCCACGCGGTGGGGCTGTACGGGGCTCAAGGTGGAGGAATTGGTGATCGGGACGGAGTTATGCCAAAAATGGACATCATCTCTGGAACACTTGGTATGTGTACTTCATACGTTCTGTTGGCTGCACTGACGTCACGTTACCCTGACAAACCAGGGACTCACTGGGAGGGATCAGGTGAGACAATGCGATAGCATATAAAGCCTGGGCCACTGTTCTGGGTGAGTTTTTACTTTCTCCGTGAATAGTGGCACAGCTTAGCAGAATCCCTTGAATTGTGGAGGCATGGCCCCCAGAATCAAAGCAAATCGCACAGCCTAACGTGACAGAAATACCGTCTGTTGCCATCTGAGCTCATCACTTACGTAACTGTGACTCTAGCTACATGCCGTGGCCATAGCCTTTACTCTCCATGCCTCAGACTATGCCTTCATATGTAAAAATGGGGCAGGGAGTTCTAGTGATTTCTCCCAGAGCAGTTGTGAAGACCTGTGGGTTCAAGCATTGTGAGGTGCTGAGCTCTGTGCCTGCCTCACAGGAACTGTTCCAGTTCACCCCGGCTACTTTGAATCTCCTCTGCTCCCCCGAACTGAGAGGCAGGGTCTCACGGAGCCCCACCTTGGACTCCATAGCCACACCGCCTGCTGAGTGACCTCTGCCTGCATAGCCCACTAGCTGTGTGACCGTGGGCTGGTAATGAACCTCTCCGTGCCTCAGCTTCCTCATCTACAAGTTTCCCCACTCCCCAAAATCATAATGTTCCTGTGAAACCTTTAATAAGCTAAAATGCAGTAAAGCAAAAAAGTTACCATTAACTTATATGAGAAAATTCTTGAGCGTTCTCAGACCCAAAAAATAAGCTCTCTCAGTCTTTTCTGATACCTCAGGACACATCCTGCTAACAGATGTTCAAAATAACGGCAGATACAGCACACGCTCACAGATGCTCGCAGTCGCAGGTCGGAGCGCTGGCGGGGTGGTGCTGCGATGCTGAGTGTTTCTGGGGAAGGGGCCTCGAGGGGCCGCTCTGGCTGCTTGGGATGTGCGGCCTCTGTGACAAACACTGGATGCTCGTTTTGCTTTTTGCCTTATTTCGTAAGAGGGAAAATCCTCAGATTTCTTTCAGTTTGCAAAAACAGGTACTAACGAAAGCCAAGGGGAGTAACACGAACTTCCCACGAGCGGGGGAAGCATGTGTAATGGGGTAACAGAACCTCCCCCTGCTCTGGTGGAGGAAATAAATGAACTGTGTGCAGAGAACTTCAGTGGATGTTCTCTTTGCCTGTGGCGGCTCTAGAGATGAAATGTGCAAATTGTACAGATTGGAGGATTTCAGAAGCCAGTGAGGCAGTTGGGGGCCCACACAGCAGTTAGCCAAAATGCCAGCTTCCAACCTGCTCTTGGTAAAGGCAGGGCAGGTGACACAGAGTGTCCCTGAGCCCCGCTGAGGGGTGGGAGAGCCCCATGCAGACCCTGATCCTGCAGCCGGTGCCCTGCCGGAGGGGCACCCTTGCTGGTACTCATGTATTCTGATTCCAGAGTCCCTTTTCTTTTAAGGAGCTCTTGTGATGGGGGCCCTTCGAAGGTGTGGTCACTGTGAGATGGCAGAGGCTGGAGAGAGAACTTTTCTGCTGAAAGATATTGTACCAACCAGCCCTGCATGGGGTTCAAGCAGGAGTGGTAATTACAGAACAGAACATTAAGATCTGGGAGGATTCTTCTGGAGTCATTAATCCTGAAACTGGAGATACAGATTATACAAAGGGACTTAATAAGAATTTAAAAATGAGGCTGGCCCCAGATCAGCCCTAACAGGTTCTGAGTTTTCATGTTTATCCAGCAATTGCTGCCCGTCAAGAGTTTTGTGTTTACTTGAATAGAAAATAATACCAGCCACACCACAACAATTAATGTCTCAGCTGGGCCTTGGGGGTGGTGCTCTCAGTGAGGATGGTGCAAACACCGCAGCTCAGGTCCTGTCCCGCAGAGCTCCCATGGCACAGAGCGTGCTGGTGGCCCCTAGCCCATTGGCAGAGCAGCAAGGCGGTGGGAGGGCGGGTGGGGAGGTGCAGCAGCTGATACGCCGCACCCCAGACCGGCCTGGCCAGGGGGCCTGCGCTCTGGACCTGGCCGGCCTCCACCTTCACCACGTGACTGGGCCAGACGCTTCCATGACCTTCTTAGCCTTCCCTTTCCAAAACGGGTGGGCATCCCTTTACTTCAGGTGAGGGCACGGCGAGCTCTCAGCACCACGGTGCGTCGCTGGGACGCCCCGGGGTGGCTGCTGTGGCGAACGGTGCCGTCTCCTCCAGGCAAAGCCTTCGGCTGTGTCGGCGGGTACATCGCCAGCACCAGCGCTCTGATCGACACCGTGCGGTCCTACGCTGCCGGCTTCATCTTCACCACCTCCCTGCCACCCATGCTGCTGGCCGGGGCCCTGGAGTCTGTGCGGATCCTGAAGAGCGCCGAGGGCCGGGCGCTTCGCCGCCAGCACCAGCGCAATGTCAAGCTCATGAGGCAGATGCTGATGGATGCCGGCCTCCCCGTGGTCCACTGCCCCAGCCACATCATCCCCGTGCGGGTAAGGGCCTGCCTGGGGCTCTGCTCGCTGGGGCTGGCCTCTGCGCTGCCGGAGCTGCTGGTCCACGGCTCCCGGAGCACGGGCTGGGGCCAGGCTGTAGTGTCACTCTGAGAATGGAGCTCTTGAACCCAGCAGGCCGGAGCAGAGGCTCCTCCTCAGCACTGGCCCTGGCAGGGTGAACAGCTTGTATCTGGAGAGCCCCAGAAGCCTGAGCTTGGTAGCTTTGAAATGTTGGCTTTCTGTTCGGTTAATTCCAAAGTGGGTCTTGCCCTTCCTGCTGCAAGCAGTGGCCCTGCTGTCATGCTGAAATAGCTTAGCAGAGCTTGGAGCCGAAGCTGCCTTCCTCCCCTAGGCCTGCGCATCCGTGGGTACGGGGACTGGCCGGTAGGGACGACCATGTGCTTTCCCGCCCAAAGCCCGGGAGGGGTGAACGTGAAGGTGACTTCTGGCGTGGTTTTGGTTCTCCGTTCCGTACCGATCAGCCCCAAGCCCTTTCAGCCGCACATGACCTCTGCTCAGGCCGCCTGTGCCCAGGCTGCCCCAACGCCACAGAAGGCCCTCGGAGCCCCCGCTGAGTTCTCGCCTGACCTTTTGTTCCCATCAAACGTAGGTTGCAGATGCTGCTAAAAACACAGCTGTGTGTGACGAGCTGATGGGCAGACATAACATCTACGTGCAGGCTATCAACTACCCAACGGTGCCTCGCGGGGAGGAGCTCCTGCGCATCGCCCCCACCCCGCACCACTCGCCGCAGATGATGGCCTATTTTCTAGGTGAGGGCCCGCCGCCAGCGAGGCTTTCCGTCGGTTTCTTCTCTTCCCGTGGGATCAGGAATGTGCTGGCACCGACCGTGGGGGCCGTTAGTTGTTCCCTTCACTTGAGGGTGGGGGGGCGTTGAGGGAGCCTGCTAACCCTCCCGCTTTCCCCTTGGTGGGTGGCACAAGGAGATGGCATGGCTGTGGCAGGGGTCAGGGAGAGGCCTCTGGGGGCTGGGCCTGCCCTGGGCCTGCCAAGTTCAGTGTTGCACTCCTCTCTCCCCGCTGACGTGTGTGGTCCCCGAGCAGCCCCACGCCCAGCTCGCTGGTGAGAGTGCCTGTCCCGTGGGCTCTGCAGCTGTGTGCGGCCCAGGGCCCCAGGTGCATTCCCTTCCTCAGCCCCGCGAGGGTTCTACCGTCTGCCGGGCTTCTGGACTGTTGGCTAAGAATGCTGTTTCCACAGCTGAGCCCTGCCAGAGCACCTTCTTCCCTGTAGGCATGTAAGATAAGGCCAGAGTTGGGTTTTGTTCTGCAATTAAAAACATGTTTTACACAGCTTTATTGAGATATAATTTACATACCACAAATTTTGCCCTTTCAAAGCATACAATTTAGTGGTTTTTAAGTACATCATAATGTACAGCTGTCACCACTGTCTGATTCTAGAACATTCTCATGCCAGAAGAAACCCCATACCCATCAGCAGCCACTCGCCCTGCCCCTGCCTTGCCCCGTCCCTGTGGGTTTGCCCGGACTTGCACATCATGTAATGAGGTCATGTGACATGTGATCCTTGCTGCCTGGCATTTCCAGCACGGGCCTCCAGGTTCATCCATGGTCCAGCGTGTGTCAGAACCGCATTCCTCTTACGGTATAATCCTCTTCTGCGTGGATCACTCATTTTGTATATCTGCCAGTTGATGGGCATTTAGGCATTTCCAATCTGACGTTATGAAAACGGTGTTGCTGTGGGCATTCACGTCGGGCCCTCTGTGTGGGCGCACGTTTTCACCTCTTTGGGGACAGGCTTCCTTTAACCTGCTCAAACTGTTTCTCCTCACAGAGAATCTGCTGGCTACGTGGAAGCACGTGGGGCTGGAGCTCAAGCCGCATTCCTCCGCCGAGTGCAACTTCTGCAGGCAGCCGCTGCACTTTGAGGTGATGAGTGAGAGAGAGAGATCCTACTTCTCCGGCCTGAGCAAGCTGGTGTCTGCTCAGGCCTGAGCGTCCTGTGGTCCCAGTTGCTCCACCTAACCCCAGGCCATGTCATGTCCATATAGCCTCCAAAAGTGTCTTTATATGGGAATTAAATTATATTAAATTTATATGCTATGGTAAAAGCATAAACCAGAAAATAAATTCTTGTTTAAGTGATGGTTGTCCTGTTAATGGCTGCTGAATCAAAAACTCCTTTTTCTTCATCCCCGGAATCTTGGTCTGTATTGTTGAGGCGTATAAAATGTGTAAACGCATACTGGTCCCTGGTAGTGGCTTCAGACTCCGGCACAGCGGCAGAACATCCCCCGCTTGAACCCAGCTGCCAGCAGCTGTGCGGTTCTGAAGGAAGTCACGCCAGTTTCACTTTAAATTTCTCACCTAGGCTGGGCTGTTTCTCTCCCGTTTCCGTTTTCCCGAGGCCTTGACCTATATACACTTCCCTGGGAAAGGGGCAGCTGGGAGGCCAGCTCTGTGGACCCCCCAGCCTGCCGCCGTGTGCCCGTGCCCCTCACCCTGGCTCCTCCCACCTGTGTGCTGGGTCCTGTTGCTCTTTGCGCACCCTGCAGCCATTTCTTGCCTTCCCTGCCGTGAATTCCCCCCATGGGCCTGCAGCAGGCATGGCCACCTGTCCTAAAAGTGGACAAGCCCTCCCTCAGCCCCTTCTGGCTGCTGCCGCCCCATACTGCCTCTCGTCTGCTAAGTGCGCCTTGCTCCTTCTGTTCCCTACAGAGACCACGTGTCCTGCCACATCTTGCTGCTCTTACCCGATCCAGTGGCCGGTTGTTTTCCTTCCATTGGTTCTCAGGAGGCTGTCCTTGTCTGTATTACGGCATTCTCTGAGCTTCCATGCTGCTAACCTCTGGTTATTTTCCTCCTTCACAAGCTGGTCCTTCTGTGAGTGTTGAGCGCCCACTGGGTTCATCTCTTAACTGCACATAACCCTTTCCCCTCCCACCACATGGCCTCTCCCTGCCCTGGGTTTTCAGTGTGAGCTGCACATTGCTGACTGCCATCAGCCCCACACCTCGAGCCACACAGGTCCACAGGGCACCCTGGGTCTCATCCGTTCTGCTTGCACCCTTGCCCTACCATCATCCACCCAGCAACTACGCCCTCTCAAATGGAAGTCAGCTGTCCTCATGAGACGCATCCAGGCCACTTCCCATCTCCGCCGTCACACCACCCCACCTCATCCTGGCACCTGCCCCCGCCTCAATCCCACACAGCAGCCAAGAGAGCTTTTAAAAATATAAATCAGATCATGTCTGTCCCATGCAGAAATCGTCTGGGTCTCCCAGTGGCACTCAGGTTAAACTCTAGATTCCTTGCACAGGCAGACACCACTCTGCTCAGGGACCCATCCCGGTGCGTGCTGGTGAGCACCCCTGGGCCTCAGATCCCCCAGCTTCTCCAGCTTCCAGACCATGTCCCTTTCCTGGATTTTTTCTACCATGGATCACGGCACAGCCACCACTCTTCACGTAGGACAAGGGTCCCTAAGGAGACCGTCCGTGAGCCCCAGGGGCTACAGCAGCCTCTCCTGCCTTCTCCCCATCGCTTGGCCTCTAACACGGTGCCCTTCAAAGCTCTGTCACCACCAGGGGTCACTTCAGTGCTTCCCCCACCCCCCCGTCCATCGTCTGCCCCGTCTTCACTCCTGCATCCCCACCGCATGCCCAGGCACTGAGCAAATGTGTGTTCAGTGAAGGAAAGGGGCAGTCAGCTTGGGCTCTGTAACCAGGCACCCAGGCTGGGTGGCTGAACTAACACCCGCGGATTCCTCCCAGATGTGGAGGCCAGGAAGGCTGATACCAAGGTGCTGGCAGAGTGGGTTCCTGGAGAGACCCCTTTTCCTGGCTTGTAGACAGCTGTCTTCTCGCTATAAATCCACAGGACCTTTCTCACCTGTAAGACCTCTAGTCCCACCAGGAGGACTCGCCTCATGAGCTCATCTAAACCTGGTCACCTTCCAAAGGCCCCACCTCCAGACATCACCACACTGAGGCTGGGGCTTTGGCGCAGGAGTTTGCGGGGGACACACATCCAGCCCGTAATGGGGACCAATGATTAACATCCAAGTCAAAGAGGTGAACTGAGCAGAAACCAGCAGCCTCCCTCAGCTCCAGAAGGGGCAGCGTGCTGCACTCGAGAGAGCGTTGTCCTGGCCCTCCACCCAGCAGGCTGGGAATGGGCACGCACACCCTTCCGGGCCCAGCACCGGGGAGAACTCAGCGGGGTCCTGGTCCTGTCGGGTAAGACCAGCCGCCCGAGGGAGGTCACATCACGGTGCTCCTGTCTGCTGGGAAAGGCCTCCTCAGCCCTCCCGGCTGGGCACGCTCACGCCAGCCGGCGGGTGTTCCCCACTGTCCTGGCCTTCCCGGGCCTGCGGCCCTCCGCCTCCTCCCAGGCAGCCTTCCCTCTGGCCTGGGGAATGCTGCTCTGCGCTTGGCAAGCCCCTCCTTCTCCTGCGGCTCAGAGCAGAGAGTCAACAGGTGGTCAGCTCCACTTTGCTCCTGCAGCTCGGGGACCGCGCACCGGGGTGACATGCTGATCTGCGGAGAGGCAGATGGGGTTTGCAAACTGCTTAAAAATGAGAAGGGTGGTTTCTGATAAGAACACATGTGAAAATGTATCATGGCCTGGAAGTTTTCCAAGAATATTTAGAAGATTAGGGCATTCAATAAAGTGTCCTACAGGGAAATGGGTGAGTTGTAATTTAAAACCCCAGCCAGCAGGATTTCCTCACATTATAGTGTTCCTCCTACCAGGTTTTCCAACGTCTTGTGCCCAGACCCCTGCTTGTCTGGCACTCAAGGCTCCCTGACAGCAAAAATCACAGGAGCCAACACTGGGAGCAGATGGCCCCTGGCCCTGCTCCCAGCTCCATGTGCCTCTGATTCAACTGTATCTGTCTCCGAACGCTGCTCAGCGCCCTGGGTGGGGCCCCTGGCTGGGGAGGATCCACCTCTGGGAGGGGAGACAAAACACTGAAGCCCCATCAGTGGATGGGCCTCAGCAGCAGCCCCTTACCTAATTATGACAGCTGAGGACCAGTGGGTTTCTCAGACCTTTACACACTTTTCTGCGGTTCTTGTGACAGCCTGCAGAGTAACTCTGGCCATCCCCATTCACCCATGAGCAAACCGAGGCTCCAAAGGGGAAGTCACGGGCCCAAAACACCAGAAATGATGGGGCTGGTGATCACCCTGCTTATCTGACCCGAGCGCCACCTTCTGCAGCCCTACCCGGGCCTGCTCCTTCCTCAGGACCTGAGTTCGTAGGGCTCTGCCCCTTCCATCCTGCAGACAGCATCAGAGCTTTGCCCCGCAGGTCACACCATGCACCATGGACCCCCAGACTCACTGCCGCCCAGCCCAGGAGCCCCCTTCCCTCAGGCCTCAGGCCTGGCCTCCAAAATGATCTTCTGAATTCAAGGTCCCAGATGAACCAGGACTGCGCATGAGCAGCCCGCTGTGTACGTGGAGGTTCTATCAGGCCAACTGCTTCCCGCTTGCAAAGCGTGGTGCCCTGCACAGGGCCCTGCTTTCTGTTCCTGCTCTTGGATGTGACCACAACAGTCTCAGAGCCACTGAGGGGCCTCCCCTGAGACTCCAGCCTAGAGGAAGTATGGTTCTTGTTTTCTTCCCAGTCACAGGATGAGGAAGTAACAGGGCCAGCCATGCCTCCGGCAGGACAGGACAGGACCCGGGTGGGGCTTCTGACTGGTGGTCAGAAACCGTCCTTCTGTCTTTCTTTCAGGCAAGCAGGTAACAAGTACACCAGCCTGCCACAGGAGCGCCTAAAGCCCAAGTCAGAAAGGTGAGGGTGGCCTGTACTTCTCTCCCAGCTGTGCCCTGGCGGGAAGGCAAAAGTAGCCTCATCCCACCGCAGGGCTGTCCACATTCCAGCTGCAAGAGTAAGCCGAGTCTGCAGCCAGCTCCGACCTTCCACCGCGGAGGCCCTGACCCACCGGGCTGGCCCAGGACCAGCCTGGGATGGCCAAGCTGGTTCCACTCTCTTGCAGCGCCGGGCCCCAGCTGCACGGGCTGCACTGGTCTCTTCTGCTCCTCAAAGGGCAGATTTAGCTGTGGGGATGGCGAGGCACCCAGTTCAGGACAAAGTACCTCAGGGGCTCCAGGCCTGAGCTCACCCCTCCAATTCCACACACTCACTGAGGGCAGACCTGCACAGGCTGTCTCCAAACATGGGCCTCAGGGGCTCCCAGCAATGTCCCAAAGTCTAAATGGCTATCAAAGCTAGAAACACACACACACACATGCTCCATCCTCATCCGAGGTGGCTGCGTCTTCCACCTAAGTGTAAACAGCCGTGAGAAGCAGGGACAGAGAAGGTAGGCCCCACCTTCGCAGCCAGGTGACAGCTCCCGAGGTGTCTCTTTGCTGTCAGAACAGAGAGACCCAACATGCATGCTAGGCGAAAATAGAACGGGATGGATGGGAGCTCACTCTAGAATCTGCAGCGGCTCTCAGCGCCCTGCTATGGGGCTATACCCACAAGCCTTCCTCTCCCCAGCCTGGGCTGACCTCCTGGGCATGGCACAGGTTGGCAACCAGAGGGCACAGTCACCCCTCGGAACCCACAGGGCTTGGGAATGGACGTTCCCCAGGGCTGCTGCCACTCAGGACTGTGCCAGGGGCCAGGAATGAAATGGGCCTGCAGGTTCTCTGCCCTCAAGCCACTTTCAGCCCAGCAGGTAAGGGAGGCGGATGCTGAGAATGTGCACCATGCAGGGTGGAAATATGCCCACCCACCTTAGCAGGGCTGCCTGGAGCCGCAAGGGGCAGGTGGAGAGGGCAGGGCAGTCAGCCTGCAATCTGGGAAGGACTGAGACCCCGTTTAGTGCCCTTGCTCCAAGTCCCCAAGGAGATGCCCATGGGCACAGCTGTGGGTGCTCCTTTTCGCTCTGGGGCAGTTTCCCCCATATCACCTCTTGGCCCTCCCCACCTGAGGACAATTCTCCCTTCTGTCCTCCCTGTCACACCTCCAGTGACTCGGGGCCAGCTGTTTGACCTGCCAGTGGCATTTATTGAGTGCCCTCTATCTGCCATGGTTGGGGTGGGGAGGCAGGGCAAGCACCCAGATCGGGGCCACGGCACTCTGCTACTCGGCCATCGTGGGGCCCTGGCAGAAGTTCC